GTGTAATTGTAAAACCGTAGTTACCATGACCTTTATTAAAGAAAATCATATTAAATATTGGTTTGGTAGTATTTGATTTGCTTTTTTCTTGTTTAGATGACATAGTTCCAACTTGTATAGGGCCATGATCACTAGTAGATTTGTCTTCACAGAGTAATTTAAATTGATCTGGTAGAAATGGCAACACTTTACTATTTTGTAGGCTATTGACTGTCTGAACAGATTGATTTTGAAATATTTCTTTCTCATCTCTTCCAACAGATGCGTCCTTTAAAATAGATGTTGTCTTTAGACGTGTTGTAGATTCACAAACCATATTCGTATCCTTTGCTTTATCGCTATCATTTGTACTTAAGTAGGATATAAATTTACTTTCTTTGTTCATTATACCGGATACTACAAGTTCTTTATCAATAGTATTCTTGTACTCAGTATGTATCGGCGACTTCCAGGTTGCATAGGGAATATTTTGAATTAGCTCATCTTGTTCAGTCTCCTTTTTAAATGTCAGATTGTTTGTCAGTTTGAAGTCTGACCATTTTCTAAAGTGATGTTTAAAAGACGGTTTTCTTTTTCTTCGTTTTTTCCTTTCAATATTTAGACTTTTGAAACTATTAGAATGCTCACATTTAGTCGCTTGTGTTTTAAATTGTTTGGTATCGCATATACTCAATCTAGATATTTTCAGCCAATCTTTTAAAGGGTTTTCAACATTCGATTTTGAAATTTTCTTAACTTTGTTTTGTTTTGCACTAATTTTACTAATCTTAGATCTAATATCTATAACCTTGATTCTTAAATTGCAAACGCATTTTTTAAGAGCATAGCTGCTTGATTTGTTGTCCTTTTCATTCGATTTTATCTTAGACTGTTGGTGTAAATCGGTTTTTAATTTAGGTGAGATAGGTTTCTTATGAAAACTGCCTATTTCGTGCATATTTTCGTTTTTGTAATGACCAAGAACTTGTACCGTATTAGATTTTTCAAGAATTTTAATTGCAGGTATTTTTTGTTGATCGAGGGGTTTTTCATTTAGATGTCTGCGAAGTTTTGGAAGTTCACTTGTTGTTTTCTCAATACTAGTAAATAAATTCTTATATGCAACACGCTGTGTAGTGTTTGATTGTATTGGCGTGATCATTTTGTGAAATGAAGTCGAAGGATTTACTTTCAAAGTAATTTTATTTACGTTATATGATGATATTGACGGAAACCTGTTAGGTGAATTCACCTTACCAAGCCGTGAACTTTTGTCAATAGACGTTGCAGAAAGCGATTTCAATATTTTAACTCGTATTCCAGAGGTATTTATATTGATTAGATAAGATGGTCTTTTTCTTGCATTTTGAGTCAATGAATAATGTTTGTCTTGTATTGAAGTCATATTTGTTACTGAACTTGTCGATAATAGGGATGGTACTGACTTGGAATTTCGTCTTTTCATTAGAGAAAGTGAGGTATTACTTTCTTTTGGTGTTTGTACTTGATTTGATATTTGTAACATATTGACAAGTATTTGATTATTTTTAATGCGTTTTGATATGGGATGTTTTTGTTGCTTCGTAGCAACTCTTAAAAGGTCGGTTACATTTTTTGTTTTCCTAATATTTGTAGTTGCCGCGTTAGAAGGGTGAATAACATTTTCATTGTGAATTCGTTTATGTATTCTTGATTTAAGCTCACATTTCTGAACTGTTTCTATATTCTGTATATGACCCAAGTAAGATTTATCAATAAATTGTGTGAGAAAACTTTCTATGAATGCGTTTTTATTGTTTTCGTTTAAAATATTTTGGAAAATTCGTCGTTTTTCGGGTGTTAATTTCGGTAAAGCATTATTATTTGCTTTAAAGCTATCTTTTATTTTTTGTTGTAGTAACTTTAACTTTTCCATTGATTCTAAATCCTTATTATCAGCATTATCTCGTAAAAGTTTAGTAAATTTTTGAGTCTTTTTCATTCCTCCTTCGCCGATATTTTCCATATAGGGTGTAAAATAGCATCGCTTTAGTTTATGGTAAGAATTTCTCTGTTTATGGTTGTCAGGTGATGAAGGTTTACTTTTGGTAGGTAATAAAAATCGATCTCTTTGTCTAATATCTGGTTGTTTGATATGAAAATTTTGAGGAAAGTTTGCCCTTTGACATTCCTTGATATTTTTGTGTTTACAGGCACATGTACAAGGGTCTGATTTAATATTTTTAGTTTCACCATTGGTTTGTTGGGCTAGATTGGACCTGGATGCAATGTTCTCATTAATGTGAGCTTGTCTGTTTCGTCGTCCTATTTGAACACATTCGTGAAGTCGAGTTTTTACACAGCATAAACAACAACTACAGGACTCACTTAATTCTTTCATCTCTGAAACAGGAGTTTTGTCATCCACTGTACATAGGTCCTTATTCTTCTCAGATTTCTGACGGGTTTTCGAATGATCTACAGAAGGTGATTTTAACTTCATATCAGTGACTGTCTTGCTACTATCAGTTGTACTACTTGAGAGTAATTCACTTCTGAGAATTTCATACAATGGTCTTGTTTTGAACATTTTTTCTAACAATTGTTCTTCTTTTAAAGGTAATGAATATTTTGCACTTAGTGCGTTGTACAATCGAGATTGTTCTGCTAACAATTCTGTGATTACTCGGTCATCTATATCACTACTGGAGAATGAAGTGCACGAACCAGGATCATTATTACCTGACTCCGTCTGTGATGACTCTATTATTATTGTATTGCTTTTTACGAATGCTTTTGTTAACCACATTATTAAAGAGGCGACTACACGAACACAATTTTACATAAAGAATCAAATAAAGCGTATCCTATATTGTACAGACTGCGTTACAACATAATTTCACCTGAAAATGGAAAGAAAAATAATAACCATTTGTAGTTTATCTGCTCATGAGATGACAATGATTTTAATTTACTTAGGACGAATTAATTTTCTACATTAAAAAGGTTTCTTCAGGTTCATGTGCAAACGTTTACAGAAACTAGTGATTTTGGGACCATTATTTGCACAGTATTAGTACGTGTATTATACGAATATCGTTACATAAAATAATCAGATCTAGGTACTTACAAGACTAGAACATTAGAGTGAACCACAACAATTACGTTTAAGTAAGTTTAAGGCGGTCTTCCGAAAACTGTTTCAGAACATTTTTGTTGAATTTACTCCAAAATACTTTAAGGAATATCGCTTCTTCGTACAAATATCATCGAAATTTCGCAAAAAATACATCGAATAGTTAATTTTGCTTTCCATTTCAAACTTTCCAAAAAATATAGAAATGCCAAAGAAGTCAAATTGACAGAACTTTTGCAAAAGATATATATTTGTGTTTGTGATCGTTCTGCCAGCTTTGTAATCCAGTTTGAGGTATTAGCTTCTGTTTTTTGACATTTATGGACTCACAGAATTTAGGAATGAAGGGAAAAGAAAAGACACAGTAGCTGGACACAGGATGCTGTTCAACGTGTCACGGGTTCGGTTCCCACACAGAATAATTCTTTACTTGATTAACAAATTATTGTTCTGGTAAGTATAACGTGTAGGTTCCTATTTGTGTAGGTATGTATGCGAAATTTTAGGTATTAAACGCACCCACGTCGTCACCGGAGGAAATTCTATTATGGGGAAACGTTTCAAAATCCATAATAAATAACGGTCTAAAATATGAATGGACAATATTTAAAACAGCAAAATTGATAAATAGGTACCTACAATCCTACATGAAACAAAAATGCAACATATTGAAACTCGTGTTCGGAAACTTACGACATTTTCACCTTTGTTATCATTTAATTTTGCCTACCGGTCTCTACAAAACATACTTAGTATAAAAACAAGCGTCAACAATTTATTCCATGCCGCTCCAAACGTTTCGCTAGCTTCTAAAACTTCAGATCAATTCAAATGCCCCAAAACTTAAGCACTAACTGACCGGTTGCAACAGAACGGACAGCATAACTTCATAGGGTTGTAACTAATCTGTAAACGATAACTTGAGTCAAGTTCAATCGGACGCATCTCAAGAAAACTTTTAGGTATTCATCAGAGGTTAGTGACTTGCGACTTGCGAGACACCTGCGTGACAGGTTGCATAAAGTCAACGGACAAACTTACCCAAGTTACAGAAGTAAAAGCCTCCAAAAGTTCCAAGTTCCAAAATAATTTAAACACACACACCAATCACTGCACAATTACATTCACAAATATAACACACATAAAAGTAAGTGAGAAATAAGTTATCCGCGAGTTTATAACACCCACTACGCGAACAATAACACGACCCTCACTGATGGAAAGCAAAAGCAAACTACCGGGTAACCGGACGCAAACTTGGAACCCCACAATAAAAAACTTTACTGCTGATACTGGTAGCGCTCTCTAGTTTACGTTAGCGTAAACTTTCTATTAGTGCATATTTTGCGCAATAGATGGCGTCCTACTAAACAGGTTGTATAAAGAGTATAGTATAAAGGTGTCCCGAGTTTCGTTTAGCTTTTAAATTGAATCGACAGAGGGCGCGCCTTATATTATTTTTTATAGAAATACAAAATTGAATAAAAAATAGGCTGGTAATGCTGATATATTCTATATTATAATAATATTATGATACTTTAAACAAGTGATGTTTAAGGAAATCAGTAACAATTAAATCCATATTGAGAATTTAAAACATTTATAAGTATAACACATTTTATTGCATTTACTAATTTATAAATAGCGTTTATCTTATACATAGGTACATTTCTTGCCTGTTCACTTATATCGAAGAATAACAATGTTTGGATTTAGAATTAAACAAAAATACAATAATACCACAGAGAATGTCAAAGTAAGTACTTGAAATTACTGATGAGAATGTAAAAGTACTTGAAACTATTTGACCTAGTATTTTAAACATTAAATGAAAAATGGTACATAAGACAGGAGGCAATTAATTGTCTTATTTTGTAAAATAAATTATTCTAATAAATAGCTATTATTAGTCATCTTCAGATTCAGTTTCCGATTCAGATTCAGCTGGTGGCCACATATCCCGGTCATCTTTTTCATTCTTCACTTTTTCCAAATATGTATTTTGTGCTTCTAATACACTTTTACTATCAGTACATGCTGCATACAACTCTAATGCTTCTGCATTAAGTTCTAAAAAGGAGTGGCCCCAAGAAAACTTGGATAAATAGAATTGTGCTTCTTTTTTGTGTCCTGTGATAACCATAGCGGCTGCTAAGGCTTCTACACAACTCAGTTGATACGGTTTCCCATAATTTATAGGGTTAGCAGCCACTAAGAATGGTAACAATCTCGGGTTTGGTGACTTCATTCTATCAAACGGAGTTTCATCAATCTTAGCCCATGAACAGTCTATCACAGCTAGACCGAATTTTTCAATAATTTCTTTGTCGTTGGGGCTGACACATTGTTTGCCGACCGGTGACAATACAAGTCCTCTGAATTGTTGAACTAGTTTCAAATTCTTGATGAGGTTATGTCGAGCCAGTTTTCTGCCGGAACACTTCTTAGGGTCGCAATGATTCAGGTCCCACATGCTTATTGGGAACGTAGGAGGTACACCTTCACTATCAGAGTCACTATTACTGCCGTCGCCACTGCTATCTTCTGATGATTCCAGCTGCAAGTCGTTAAATCTCTCCGCATATTCCCGTTTTACGTGTTGGTTAGACCGTTTACCGTGTACCTTCTTTTTTCCAGGTGCCATTTTGTTAATATTTGATAATATCACCGTTATGAACCACAATTACACGTATTTGTTATTGTTTTTATTGAAATAGAGACACAAACATAACCTAAACGTAAATATTTTGCCACAATCACATGTCATCTGCGCATGACATTTGGTTTGGCATTGACAATGACAACGGATCTACTTACCACACGCTACGCCATGTTATACCTAACGTTTAGTTTGTTACCAAATCTTATTAAAAAATGTATTTATACCTACGTAAATTCTGGATTTTCCTGATTATTTGATTAGATTTTGTGGATCACGATTTTATATCTGATTTATTGGTAATAAGAAAATAAAAACAATTGATATCGTCCCGTGGCGTGACGTGTATCAATATATTTGAACTACCTAACGATTATACCTAATTTATCTTTTGTTCACGGCAGGAACTGCTTTATGAAATCTACATCTTTAACCTAGGTTTTGAAAACAATGAACTATTTTAAAATAGTATACTTTCAATACTATTGCAACTAAAACTATTGGCAGCGTAATTGAATTATGAAGCCCGTCATTAGTTTTATGAAAAGGGTTGGTTGTCAATAATCTGTCGTTTGCTTATCAAAATACTTATTAGGTTATACCTAGATTTATTGAGATTCAGTTTAATTAATTTGATCAAGATTGATTTTACACGCGGAAGAATGAGCAGTGCCTCAATGGCGGGTAAGTTTAAAAATTTTTGTTGTTCTCCTTAAAGTCGAGTTTAAACAAAAACTTTATGTATCCATCAAAGCTAGAACCTTGATAAGTCCTTACAAAGTAATGAAATAGAGAAAACTACTAAATAAGAAGGATTAAGTACCATTAGTAGATTTTTAAGGGTTTCCTAAACATTTTTTCTTTACATATAATATGTCTCGTGTATCTATTGTTTAGTCATGACTACAAGTTGTTAAGTAAATTGGCTAAAAGTGTCTAGCTAGCCAATTGGTTGCGTTCCTACGCAGTTGGATACCAATTGCATTTGATCGTAGATTTAGATCGCATTTAATAGGTGTAAACGTCGTTTTTACCGTAGAAGTACCTAGGTGCTCCTATTCAATAAATGTTCAATTGGATGATTGCTTGATACAGGTCTTGCCTAAGTACGTACATCTATTTTATATAGGGAAGATCTAATATGCTACTAGCCATACTTACTTACCTATGTATGACGTCGTGTTCGTAAGTTTGTAGTCAGTAATGGGATATATTTAGTTTAGGAGTAAAATATTACGCAATTGCATAATTTTTTATAAGACGAATTCATAACTCTCCTTTTGGCTTCGCCTTAGTCGGGTAAAAAATAAGAGGTAAAACTTCAATAGGTATCTTTCTCCTTGGTCAAGTGATCGCAAGTTCGACAAGGCCGAGCAAAAGGTTTCGTGTTCGATTCGCGTTTCAGACAAAAGTAATTGTTTTTTATTTCTTATTAACTCGTCGAGTACCGGTTTTATAGACACAATTAAAGAACAATAGGTCGCGGTCACCGGTGACCGCTTGGTTTTTGACAGTTTAATAACATACGGTCATGAATTGTGCCCGGTATTTAAGTAGGAAGCATAAAATGTATTGCTTTTTAAAAGGCCGGGGACGCACCTGTGACTCATCTGGTGTAGCGGATGTCCTTGGCCGCTGATCGCTTACCATCAGTTGATGCGTCTGCTCGTTTGCCTCCTGCCATTAAAAAAAAAAAGAAGAACTAGGCTCACCCCCTTATACCCAGAAATTGGAACTCATTCGGCGAAAAGTCTGTCGAAACCTACCTATACCTAAATACTAGGACGCTCGTGTAATGGTCGCTTTTCCATCCACTATCAGGTATAAAATATGCAAACAGCGGAAGAGCCTCAAGTACGCACTATCTCCTAACTATAACTTTACCCAGCATAATGAAGCTAAAGTAGAAAGTTTATTTGCATTTTCCTTCCAAAGAAAATGATAGCGCTGCAGGTGTCTTGTAGGTCATCCAGGTCGCCCTAGATATGCCTGTCATACGTAAATTATGCATGAAGAGAATGCCCTTGAAAACGTATGTTTGTCTTCAATGGAACCATGGATCGATATCTCACCTGCCATGATACCCGTGGCAAACGATAATTATAACAGCACCATCGACTGTTCAATCTCTTGGTTGAAAATTGTAATGACTAGATACTTCATTCGTCTATTGAATAGGGTAGATGACTAATTTTTATTTTAATGTCCGTCTAGTAGATTATTTAATAACACTAGACACGTATTTTTTATTTTCTTACAGAAACGAATACTTTCGACGGTATATTGATTTGAAATGTCGCCTGACGTCACTTCTATGTAGGTACATTTTATACGTAGAAATGACGTTTAAGCCCCCACTCCTAAACTTTGATTCGTTATAACTAAGCATCATTTTATTATACAACAAAATAAAAAAATACGTGTCTAATATTTTTTCATTACCTAACTGACGGACTAATTACATTTTTAATTTTCATACCCCCTTCATCATCCCAATTGAATTCAAATTAACGTTTTGTACGTTTTATTTAATTGAGTATCTTCGACTTCAACTATGCTTTGGCCAGGGATTTGTATAAACGAATTCGACAATTACTTACAAATTATAATTTTGAGCGCGAACATTAAATTATCCGGACGTCTATACGACTTTAAGCACTTTGTCGATTTTGTCCACTAAATAAATAAATGAGTTCGAGAACGTTCTAAAGATAATAATTATAAGTTACGTGTACCTATTATAATTACCAACCATGAAGCTACAAATTATTATTTTTTAGATAAGGTAGATGATGGATCGTTCTGTGAACTTTTGTTTGCCCGATAAAAAATACTTGACATAATTATGTCATTATTTTCATATTTGATGCCTACTCCGCTATTTCCAATATTAGTTATGATAGGGTATTAAGTAATTGTGTTTTTCTTTGAAGTTTAGGTTTCATCGGATGGAAAATAATATTATCACTAAAGAAATTATATTACGTATTATTATCAGAGAAAGCAGTAGGCTTAGCCTTACTTGGTTGTACAGCATGTTCGATTTAGTTTAAACTATTATTTTTATATAGAGGTACAAGCAGTAGATGATTATCAAATAGGTACAATAATTTGTAATCAATTAAAAAATAAGGCAAGTCATAAGCAGAGTTGCTTATTCATATTCCTGTAATGTAGTTTTTTAACTGTAGTTTTTTTTATATTCTGTACGTAAACTATACTGTGTGTTCCAGTTAATAGATTTAGCATTCGCCCACGTGTTAGATGAGAGTATAGAACACTCGGGTGGTTTTTAGATATTATAAGTTTGGCGAACTCTTTGTCTTCTCCATGGAGGGTTTTTTGAGGATTCTCCATGGATGGGATTAAAAAATTAACATTTGGGTAAAATCCATGTAGGTATATCATTTTTATAAATGCATTCAAAGTTTTTCCTAATCAGGGTAATAATTAGGTTATAATTCTTAACATAGTAGATTAGAATAAGTACATTGCATAACATTCGTACCTTCATTTATTTTACCGTAGGTAAGTTTTAAGGAAAATGTTGTTAAACGTGTGATAAATAAATCCGTCAGTGTGTTTATTTTTATACACAATCATTATGAGCATAATATTCAGGTACCTATTTTCATCTATCACAATGCACATAGGTACTTATTTACCGTATTGTCTGCAATGATAAAATTTTTGAGGAAAACAGTACCTTATAAAATTAACAACATTCAAAATGTGTTTTCCATTCGTAAAACAATACCTACGTTTAAAAAAATATTGTGCAGCAGTGCAGCACACATGCATATTTTAAATTCCATATAAGGAACAAGGACATCGTCTACGCTCAATGTCTTTGAGTCATTTTATCTTTTCATCTCGACTGATTCACATGTTGCGTCTGTTTACTTAGTTTGTTCATTAATAAAAAAATAAAATAAAATAAAATACACTGTGTCGCTGGACATACATAATTAACGTCAATTTGATTGGTGATCGATTTTCGCGTCAGTGCCTCGTGTGACAAGGATAGTTGGGCCATAAGCATTATAGAGTCACGGGTGGACGGTAGCTGTTGGCTGTTTACATTTGTGTCTTTGCCTTATTGACATCCGATAGAAAACTCCAAAGCGTTCACCGGTAAGTCGTGCAAAATGTGTTTATTTTACAATTTTTTCGCAATAAAAGAATTCGGTGTTAATTTAATCGAAGTCTAAAAATAGTTGAGTTATTTATTTCCTACTTCGTAATAACTTTGTTCTTAGTTTCTTAGTTATTGTATTACATAGTCACCGTACCTAATTGACGTTTTATAAATTGGCGGGAAGTGGGTCTTTTACGCGCCATGAAGTTTTGTAACGTTGTTAGTAAACCTAATCGTTGTTTAATATTGATACCTATTATATTGTGCCTGTAATTATTAAGTCTCCTAGTTAAACAGTGATAAAGCAATGAAATAATAGAAAAAATATTGTAAATAAAAAGGAATTTTTTAAACAGTGTTCGGCAAACATTTTTAACGATGCTTGCAAGTATGCACAAACTATTATGAAATAATTATTTTGAAATCATCCAGTCTTGTTTAAAACATTTCATCTAAAAGCAATAAATGAAGTATTTTGGACATGAACTGAAATGAAGCCGCGCCATAGACATGAACTTGTTCAAATCGTTCGATTCCTGTATAGAGCAAAAAACTTTAAGACTTTTAGTAGCATGTTGTAATATGGAATCATTTGGAATTAGGAATGAGGCCTATTGTGTAGGTTACATGGGATTACTTTATTGAGAAGTAGGTTCTACCAGCGGCGTCGCCCGCCTTCTTGTGGAATAAAAAGTAGCCTATGTGTTATTCCAAATTTATTCCTGTTCCAACTTTCAATTCCTCAAACAAACTTTACAAACTTGGGCGAAACATTGAGGAAAATCTTATTCATCATTTTATTCAACTCGGTTCCTGATATTGGGATTTTTGGTTTAGTCACACATTGAACCAAAAGATGTATGAGGTAATGAATATAGAATAAATAAACATTCATTCATCCACATCCAATGAACTGTGTAGTTAGTTAATTTAGATAATTTTCTAAAAGACTAGTATTCTAGATTGTTCGTGGGCGATGACAATAAACCTAGTAGGTATTAGTCAGAGTAATCCAACCAAAAACATTCTGTAAAAAACTAGCCAAGTCTCCATGGAGCCGCTCGTTCATCTCTAAAAAGTAATGAAATCTAGACAAAGTCGAGCCAAGTATAAGGTTCCTTACTGTGATTTCTTTATTATTATAGTTCATGTTGTGTAAATTGGCCGTTGAAGCGCTAGCCATTGAAGATGGAAAATTCCCACTAGGAAAAGGTTGATTAAACAGCTGTTCCGACAGATTGGTGCAATGTTGTCTTGCACCTGGTTTTGCACCCTTGTGTGCCCTTCAAAGGCCAAATCACACAACATTAACGCTTTACTGGAAAGTAAAGGATGGTACGGCATCGTTTGCTTCGCGCTCGACTTGGCGGGGGCACTGCCGTGCTCCCAGATTTCAGTGTAGGCTTAATGGTGAGTCATCGGTCTAGGTATCTTATAGGTAAATATTTTTGGTGTACGGTAGTCACTGGAATTATTTATTATGATGGACATAAAATATACTATGACCAAGTAATGTGGACGCCATTAGCTGATGAGTAATGTCAAAATGTTTGTACGATAACATCTCTTTGTTATTTTTATGAGGGTTATCTTTAATATTGTGAAGTACATTGGGGAAAGGTCAAGGTCTTATGGAGGAAGGCCCTTTAATCTAGATATCTACCTTTTAAATATAGTTTGAGGTACCTATGTAGGATATATGAAATGGTCGTTGTAAGAAAATTCCCAATTTATTCTGGTTTTAATCCCATAATTGTCAATTCAGTACAGACAAATGTTTTGAGTAAGTATGCGAAAGTTTTTTAATCACTCAAAATTGGCTATAGGTACACGATTTTGATCGAAACTTGCAAAATAAGACAATACAGGATCGAAAAATCTATCCACAAAATACTATTAGAAAAAGCTTTGATGTCTTAAGTACATTAGCTGGATCTTAATGTGTAGTAAGATAGTCGTTAATTAAACGCAGAAGAAGTTACAAAGGAAAGAAGGAAAGAAACATAACAATGTAACGCATCTACGCTAAAAATAGAAGTCGTAATTTTATCCAGTTGTCCTCGGTACACATAGAAACTGTTGTCCACAGTCTGACATACTCACGACGAATGTGTCCGGCCTAGCCTCGTTTATGCATGGCAGCTTTCTAGGTGACATAGTCAGTAGGCATGCTACATTATGGTAATAGTGCCAATGGTAAAAAAATCTTCCTTTATCTTTCAAAAAACGTTATGTTTGGTCGTGTGAGTGAGGTTATCAGGGGCCCAATAGACAGGGTAGGGGGGGCCCAAACCAACCCCCGTATAAGCTGGTAAACGAGCAGACGGATCACCTGATGGTAAGCAATCGGCGTCGGCCATGGATACCTGGAACACCAGACGGTTACAAGTACGTTACCGGCCTTTTGGGGATTAGGGGTTTGAGGAAGGGGAGGGAAATGGGGACTCCGGTAACCTCACTCACACAACGAAGCACAACTCAAGTGTTGCTTCACGTCGGTTTTCTGTGAGGCCGTGGTTTCACTTTGGTCGAGTCGGCTCATTCGTGCCGAAGCATGGCTCTCCCACACTTATTTAAGCCAAATTTTTAGAATATATTTTACGGATATTCATTACTCTGGGCACCTTCCTTCTAAGAGTTATTTTCCGACCGGCCAATGCCAAAGCAGTAGAGATAAGTTGACAACCGTTTTATTATCTAGATTCTATTTAGATCCTCAATTGCCATATTTTTAATGGTATTTTATAACGTAAGTTTATGCTCATAACTACGAGTAATGTCAGTTTTAAATACTCTCTAATAAATTATTAAGTACTTTGGTATATTAACCAGCTGACAACACACCTTCCTTCATTTACATTAGCTACTGCAATGGGTGTGTCTGTTTATGTATGTAGGTCTGTCTGGTCTGTTATTTCAGGTCATATTATGATGTGGTTGTTGTATGATGTATGACGTAAATGTCTAAAAAAGTATGATAGCCTCGTCATTTCATCATGTCAGGTTTACTAAGTTTTAAATACGTATTTGCTATGGATAAAACAACTCTAATGACATAATAGTTATGCCCATTTTATGTAGGGCAGTAATTGCGTAGTGTAATTTCATTCTTTTATGTCTCGTGTCTATTCTAAAGAGATAATTGTTCACAACAGTGATATGCCTAGTGGCTAATCACCGTGTATCATAAAACCCATGAAATCGATTCGGAACTTTAGCTATTAATGCCACATCTATTATTTAGATCACTATCCGAAGGTTGTATGTATTAAAATAATTACGTAGAAAGATTATCTACTTACTAATTAACTAGGTTTACTGGGTTATTATTCTTTCGTGCAGAAAATGATACGTATATACATATATACCTCCATATTAGGTTTATTGAATTGTCTAGTCTACTTATTGAATATATAGAGGTATACAAATATAAAAAGAAATCGTGTTATTTACGCAATTTTTAACTCAAGAACACCTAAACCGATTTGTTTGAAAATTGATAGGGAGGTTAGAACTAGGAGACGGACATAGGATTATTAACCAAGGATTTCGCGAAAACCCTACGGGAATGGGAAAATACGGGATTCCGCGTACAAAGTCGAGGACAGAAGCTAGAAATTTATATAGGTAAATGAAGTTTTAAAGACAATAAAAGATAAGATTATCAAGAAATTGATACAAATTCAAAGGTACTGATAAGGTAAAGTACTACATCTGTTAATTCATTTATACAATTTAAACTTTAAGAAAAGAGCGCACTCTTACTCAGCTTTAAGCTGTTGGTTGTCACCAATCATGACGCTCATTTTGTACTGCCAAATAAATACTAAGTACATCATGTTTATGGGCGGTAATGATCGTGTTCCTTTCAGTGATCCGTCTGACTATATATCTTCTATCCAATAAGAAACTGCAACAAAATTCTTAAACTTCAACATTTATAATATTCTTATATAAAATAATAAATAAAAAAGCCATTTATTTCTTACAGGTAATTTTACATTTTATTCTTGCTGTTGGTATTGTTAGTGTAAATTGATAAAATCTTAAAGTTAATTAATTGTTAGTGTTAGTTAGCTTGCATACTGTAAGAACCCCTATTTGGTAAAGGCCTCCTCCAAAGCATTCCACTTTTCTCTATCCTGTGCTACTGTAGTCCACAACAATATTCTTATAAGCGATACTTAAGTACAAGTTCAACTGTTGAGTACTGGAAATCAATATTTTATTCTACTAAAGTATTTATCGTGAGAAAATACGTATTATGTTGCTAACTTATTCTATAAAATCGATCGTGTTCAAGGTTAACGAAGGTTAGACTGGTACAATTAAAAAAAAAACGTTCACCTCATGCAGGTACTTGGGACAAAGGAATTGTCTTGTCACCATTGCTAGAATCGAAGGTCAAATTGTACCCCAAAGAAGACGATGTCGAATATGTTTTACTGTTTGTCCTCTGTAAAAAAGACAGATTGTCCTTTAACGAAATATTTGCTGGTTCTGTTTTATCTATATATATATATTATTTGTTCATTAAAATAAAAAAAAGTCTTAAACAAGTTACAAAAAGAAGGTAAGAATAAAGAATTTTTGGTGACCTATCTGGGATCTTAAGTCCCCGCCAAGTGTAGGAATTATGGCATATCAACTTCTTCTCCCAAAAAAGAAACATAGTCATTCATTCAGCAGCGGATGATGTTATCATCAGGATGAGGTTCATTATTGCTATTAATACAATTTTATTCCCAGACTTCGTGACTTTGTTCTATGAGAATCCCAAAACCAAAATACTTAACATCACTCGAGTTTTTTTTTTTTTAATCTTTATTAAAATGTATAAGAAGGGCTTTTCTCCTAAGCACTCGGTCTCTGTCTCAACAATCTCTGTTTCCAAGTTTTGTAACTCAACCAATGATTTCTAGGTACACATATCGATAATGGGCTCTTAATATTAATTAAGGATTTTTGTTTGCAGCCTGCTTCAACTACGATAACGTCTCTAAGGGGAAAGGAGACAAAAACGACGTCATGGAGAGTGGTAAGTAACTAAATACTATCTATATTACCTACTAAAAAATAATAAAATTAACCATCAACCTCAAGTTTTTAGCAGTTGCATTTGGTCTGCTTGAGTGATTAAATTTAAAAACAGAATAAGCACACGAACTGACACATGCGTACTACCTTCCAAACGGGTCCGCTCAAACTCTTGTGGTTCTTTCCTCAAAAGGCCACTACAGAAAGAACTTGCACGGTTCTCACACATAATATTTTATACATATTTGTCTGGACTTTAAAAGAGACGGACCTCTGAGTTTGTTTCGGCATTTCTTCTCAGAGTAGTCAGTTAGGAAATGTGGGCCTCATCGTTTACTTGATAAAATTGACGTGTAAAAGTGCTGCCTTGTAGCCTATTTGCAGAAATAAATTCACTTGTTTAACTTGACACGTGTCGCCAGTAAAAAAATTGAACTTCGGGCTACTATCCGATTACTGGTAACTACCACTAATTATTATTACAAAAGTCCACCTCGTTGTATCCGTCTAGGGAATCTAACCCGTGCCAGCAACTGATTTAGTACTACTGCAAGAAATACCTACTGCAGACAGATTTATCGCAAAACAGAAACTAAGCTCACACTTCGTCAAAGTTTAGTTTATAATAAACCAATAAGTAACTAGTTTTCATCATTCCAAGTGAGACTTTAAAAGTAAAGGTCTCTGCACATAGCCGTCCCGCTTGACGCGACGGTGACCGACGGCTCTGTGAGGCGTCGTCCGTAATATCTAGTACATAACAACTGCGTACAGCGCGTCGCGTTCCGCGCGCGCCTCAAAGAGCCATCAGACCGCCACAGATGGAGCCCATTAGGGCCGATGCCGATTCGGAGTCGCGGAGAACCTAACGGGTAACCAGGGCTCCGGCTCGAGGTGCAGGAGAAGGAACGGGGTGGTTTTTAGTCAGTAAGAGTCTGACACTCCCTTCCGCCTCACCCAGGCGGGGGCAGTCATTCGATGGTATTCCCCCCTTAAAAAAAATTACATTACAACTGCTCAGTGTCGCTTCACCATCCCATCCTGCCGCGCCGCGCTCGCTGTGTCCAGAGACCTGAAATATTGACGACAAAAGAAAACCTTAGGTACCTATCATTAAAACAACACTAAAACTAATGAAAAAATATACACCATAACTTATCAGAGACTTTAGTAAGTACTAATGGTAAGTAGAACGGAATTAATGGAAGTACCTTGTAGTAATTGTTAGTTTGATTACGTGTTGAAGCCAGGATCACGCGACCGCTGTAAACACCATACGGGCCAAACACTGGTACAGTACCTGGCAATAAATATTGCACTTACATCAGCCCTTAGACATTTATCGAAGTTTTCCTTTCGATCAATAGAGAAGATGACTAATTTTGATTTTAATGTTCGTCTGGTAGATTATTTTTAAAGACTAGATACGTATTTTTAATTTCTCACTGAGATAAATACTTTTGACGATATATTAAGTTCAAATATGTTCGTGACGTCACTTCTACTAGATACGTTTTATACGTAGAAATGACGTTTTAGTTCCCACTCCTAAACTTTCATTCGTTTTATCTATGTATTGTTGTAAAAAAAACGTGTCTAATAGTTTTTCATTACCTACCTTACTGACGAACTAAATACATATATTTTTAATTTTCATACCCGTCACCGTCATCATACCTCTTTAGGCACGAGTACCGTCATTATAGACACAATTAAAGAACAATAGGTTGCGGTCACCGGTGACCGCTTGGTGTTTGACAATTTAAGACTTAAATCGTGCTTTTACATTAGAAGGTTTCAATCAATTCCTATTTCAGTGGCTCCAAATTTCCATCTTTTAAAAGTTGTTTAAGAGGTTGGGCAGTACACAAGAAGGCGATGAAACCGAATCACCTGGTGGTAAGCAATCAGCACCACCCATGGATACAGGCAACACTAGATAAGTAATGGTTTTGTCTCAATGTCTTTAAAAAACCATTGTAATTAAATGTGCCGATGTGTAATATTTATTGCCGGGTACTGTAAGTAGGTACTTACATTATTACAAGGAGGCAATGACCTTACTTATAGTTACAGTTTATTCCGATTCATAGGCCCACTTGTGTTGTGACAGTTTTTGGAAGATACGCCTACCTGTACCTATTACTTATGCATGTAGCTCATGTGGGTAGCCAATAGCCTGTTTTTGACAGCTATGGTTTAGTTAGTTAAAGGGTCAATGAAATATGTTTCGACATATTTTTGTCTTGTTATGGAGGTACTGTATATTGGGGGCTTGGTAACAAATTATTTATTTATTTACACTTTATTATACACCATAAAAACATACAGAGAAAAATAAAAATAAAAAATGTGTACAATGGGCGGTCTTATCAGATCACAGAATGCGATTTCTTACAGACAACTTTTGGATGGAGCCAGTAATCAGGAGTTGGAAATGATTATCATTTCCTTTTTACAAATCGGCTGTGGACAGTGATTTTAAATGTTGTAAAGTCTTTAAAATTATCTTTATTAACCCGTTGAAAATCATCCCCTAAATTTGTTCATACAAAAGTAGTCTCTAACATTGGAAATAAGGTCTATAATGTAGTTAGTGAAGAGCGGTCACCGGTGACCGCTTAGGGATATATGGTTAAGAACCTAGTCAGGAGCCTAAATTGCCATTGACATTGACAACACTGTTAGGTACTTTTCAGTATTTTACAATGAAAATACCTTTCTGATTCACACTGCCATCATAATTATCATAAAATTAATAAAATATTGTCGACATTTTTATTCAAACACCCAGTCATTTATATGAAAAAGGAAAAAGGTCTTTTTGTAAACCAATATACTAACAACAGGATTTTTTTCATATAATATTTTCACGGTTTTCATGGTAGCGATGTTGATACCATCAATCAAGTTTTCATAAGAATTCTATGTTGATTAATCCACATAGTAGTGAAATAGGGCTGTGCGCGGTAGTTAGTGGCAAGAAGTTTGGAGTTGATGAAAGTATTATTAAGTTACTAAGGTTTCTTCAGTAATCGGTAGACATCAAAAGCTAGCATATTGGGACTCGTAAGATAATAGTAAAAAAGTGGGAGGTTTCATAACGTGGGTACCTACTTCTTAGGTTTATTCCACTTTCTTCACATTCACCACCATATCATCACCCAGGACCCATTTTTTTTGTATAGAAAGTCATCCAATGACTTCTCCCGCTACGGATTAAGCCAGAGGCAGTGTCGAGAGTCTTACTGACTGAAAACCACTATGTTCTTACTTTTGCTCTTCGAGCCGGAGCCCCATTACGCCTTCCGTGGCTCCGTATCGTGATCACCTAGAGGCCTCAGTCTGTTATTACAATAGTTTCAAAACTGTATAAAATCTAGCAATAGCTGGTAGTATAATAATTTTATCAACGTTGGTAACCCTACACGTGTTTGCCTTGAACTGTTCTAACTGTAACAATAAATTAATTTAAGTTTAAACGTTGTTTGGCGGTGTTTCAACAGATTTTCTTGTATATAAGTAAACGTTTATTTTCTTTGTTAGGTAAATATAATGAAAATATGATGGATTTTAAGTCTTCAATGTATAACCGTAGAATCATCACATAAGTTAATCATGATGTAAATGATAGTTTCGAAAACCAAAATTATCTATTTTCGGGAACTCCAAGTTCTAGAATAGATTCTTTTACAATAGGTAAAGTGATGCACAGGTGTATGTACACCGGGAAAGTAAGGAATTTTATTGCAGAGCTAAGCTAAAGTTATATAAGACTACAGATGTGTTAAATCAATACCCTGGACCGGGACGGTGGTACATTCAGGAACTAATTCGGTTACCAACACAATACTGCGGAGATATTGCAGGTTTCGCGCTTTTTTGCTACATATACATATTGCCGCATATTACCATAGTTGCTAATGATACGAAGAAATAAATATCCACGCATATTCCTTCTAATCTCTCGGAGTAAGAGGTTACTCAACAGTTGCGATTGCAACTACTTGACCAGTATTCAAGAAAGGACTAAGTAGATATTAATAGTCCTTTAAATAACAACATAAAATCACGCCTTTTATCCCCAAAGGGATAGGCAATAGTCCTTTATTGATTCCATATAAATTATTTATCATGGCAAACCGTGAAGGAAAACATCATGAGAAAACGTAAGCTTATAATTTCTAATTATAAGTTTGGCATTGAGCAAGCGTGGTGATTCTCAAACCTTTCCTCGTGATGAGAGGCCTTTAGTCAGCAGTGGACACTTATTGGCTGTTGATGAAGATGATGATGGTACAAATCATACCATCTGAATATATATAGGTAATGGATATATTCTTATCTACACATAAGCTAGGTAAGTTGCCACAATCTGCAGTACAAGGTACATTTGCTTACCATGGTCCATTAACTTATGTCGATGTTCCGGTATGATTCCATCCTATTGTTTTGATTCATGTCGTTCAGTTCAACTCATTTGATGTCTTCTTTAATTCTATTTCCTTTCAATACTTGTGTACGAATATATTGTTCATAGTTCCAAATACATAGATTTGGATTAAAGGTTTTTTAGTATCACGGTTCATTTAGAATTGTCTTCTATCATTATCGTTAAGTGAGCTAATTTATTGGTGAGTCGCTGTGAATCTTTTGACTAGATGCTTACATAACATAACATCACGCCTTTTATCCGCGAAGGAGTAGGCAGAGGTGCACATTATGCCACTGTACAATGTTACACCCACTTTTCACTATTTATGTTATCAGTCCCATGTAATAGGGGGTAAGCCTATTGCCATATATCGGGCACAATTCCAGACTCCGTGCTACTACTGAGATTTTTTTTTGCTTACATGCTTTACATGATTAGATGCTTACATGATGTTTAATATAAATAAAATACAATTGGTTTGGTATTGTGTTGTGTCTACAAATACTCGTGTCATTAATATTATGTTTACATATCTGGAACAGGGTATGAATATTAGATAGTATACCCTCTGTCTAGTCCTTAGTGAAGATTTAACGTGATGTTATCACTAAACAAGATAAAGGTCTTTAAACCAACAATACAAAATGTTTTAGGGTAACTTTTTTACCTACTTATTCACGCAATAAGTGTTGTAAATTATCAGCCCCTAGCATTGTAATGAATTCAATAGAAAACTTTAATAAGTGCCGCATATACTTTGGACTTACATTCGTAAGTTTGTGTCTTGTAAATATTCCGTCTCACTTCGCCGCCCTGCTCTAGCGGTCTTCGGTCGGCAGTCGGTAGTTACAAGCGAAGCATTGAAGACGTATACCTTAGTTTAAACCATGTTCGTTAGGTTCTGATCACGTGTTGTTGTGTACAAGTTTTGTGTTATACAAAATGTATCTTGGAAAGATTAAAACAACATCAAACAGTAAGTTTTGTTTATGTTTGTGGTAATTTATTATGTGGATTGTGTATGTAACTTAATGTAGTTAATACTTAATGTGTGACACCATGAAGTTAAACAGTTTTATATTAATGAGACCGTACGAATTTGTAAATGCTTGCTTGACTGTAGGAAGGGTATTGTTTTTTAGTTGTGATTGTGAACCGTAGGGTCGTATTGAGGTAGGCAGTTTATCTACTGGCACCTTATGGTGTTAAAAACCAAACGTTTTGTAAAAATAAACAATAGTAAAAATTTAACAAGTATTAACTACTAGTCAAATCTAAATACATATTTGGGATGTGTATAGAGACCGGGTTTATAGTTCTTATGATTTAAATAATATGATTTAATGACTTGAGACATAGCTTTGTAAGTAAATCAAAGCCATAACATTACTTAGGTCAACATACTGAATAATACATAGCACCGAGTTATAACCGTTGCAACATTCGCAGCTGGCCCCAAGTAAACCGAATGTATACAGAAAAATTTTGAGGTTAAAACGACCCCGTGTTTCGAAAAAAAGTTACAAATTATAAAGTAACACACGGACTTCTAATTGGGACGCTTAAATAATTAATTTGGGTATTGACAGCTGGCGTAGGAATACTAATGTAACATAAAAATTGAATATTTCAAGCGAGTGTTATGACTCGTATCGATTTGACCGAGTACATACGTAGGCATGACTCGGTTATCAACCCCTATGTAACTTGGTATTGACAAAAACGCCATGCGGGAACTACATAAATAATGATTACCACGTGTAGTATAATGGAAACTTCTAGGTTATTCATGTCAATTAGGCACTGAGGTCTGTCTAGTAGTAGTACCTACCTGATACTTATATTTATCAATATTTTTAAGCTGCTAGTTGTAAGCTGAAGATTTTGTTTGTTTTTTTTTGTTTGAATGCGTTTATCTCCGGAATTCCTGGTCCAATTTCAATAATTCTTTTTGTGTTGGATAGCCCATTTAGCGAGCAAGGTAATAAGCTATGAAACAACACGCTATCAATTCATAGAGGCTGGGCAGCAGGTGAAATCCCGCGAGAGTAGTTACTAATATTATAAAGAATAAATGAGTAGTTTCTTTGTTGACTTTGCTGAATAGACTCTGACACTATTGAACTGATTTGGAACATTCTTTTCTCTTTACAAAGCTTAGGTTTCGATCCCTGTATTCCTACAGGATAGTGACAATTTTTGAAATTGTAGGAAGACTAGATCTTTGAAATATAGGAAAGCTAAATGTACTTATAGTACCTGTATCTGTGAAGAAGCGATTGATCGTTTCATTTGAATACGAATCGAAGTCCTATGGATTCAAGGTAGTTTATTCAACTTTGTATAAATACGAGGTCAAGTACAGTTTAATGAAAATTTTACTCGCATGAAATATAGATTTTAATCTTTTCAAACAAGCTTTGAAATCTTGCGCTGTGGTAGTGTTTGACCTATTTCTAACCCATTGTTATATTTTTGCTGCATTGTCGTTTGATAACAAGTAATTTGTTGCTAAGCAACCGTATTTTGCGTACCGTAGTGTAGTGCTTAGTGGAATTTCGTTTTAAGAATTTTCTTGTGGATATAACCCGAATTTTTTTTTTTATAGTACAAATAAAAAAAGTAATATTGCTAAATAATTGCCTATAGGTACATGATCAAAGTGATTAGTATAATCTTCCTAACCTTACTCATATTTTTTTTTCTTTCCTTTGGCAAACGAGTCTTCCATACGATGTTGTCGACTATACTGCCAGCTCATAAAAATTGGGTTTACCTATCAACGGCTTTGAATCATTGTCCTTTCTATACTAGCTATAGTTAGTAACACATATGACTGCCTCGTTGACCGAGTGGTCGCAAGTGCAACTGCCAGGCAAGGGTTCTCAGATTCGATTTCCGGGTCGGGCAAAGTACAACTGGGTTATCTAAAAAAATCTCAGTAGTAGCACGGAGTCTGCAATTGTGCCCGGTATATGGCAATAGGCTCACCCCCTGTTACATGGGACTGTTAAGTGAAGAGTGGGTGTTACATTGCACAGTGAAATTAAGTGCCATAATGTGCATCTGCTAGGATTTTCTCCTGTGTCGTGGGTGCGTTTACAAACATACAAGTTTCCATACACATGACACCCAGACCCGGAACAACAATCTGTGGATCACACAAAGAGTTGTTTCGTGCGGGAATCGAACCCGCGACACATTGCGTAGCAGCCGGTTGCCAAGCCACCCCGCTAAGTGTGCAGTCGAATTTTATTTTATAAGTATGCCTATATATCACCTGCCTCGACACACTAGTACTGTTATAGGGGTCTATTTGCTCCCCTTTGAGCTCGAGACCCCTTCATTCTAATAACAAAAGATGTCTCAATGTACCCATTTAATGTAGGTCAAGGGCTTAAGGCAAAATTGTTAAGTTCCTGTTAAAGTTGGAAATCGCGTGCCTTTCTTTGTTTATCCAATAATTTTTGAGTAACGTGCCGTAGATCGACTGAGATTACAGCCATAGTACGTACACAGCATATTTATGTATCCCTATCTGAAAAGTTTCTTTAAATGATTTTCAATCTTATACCTTTGTAACTAAGTTGAGTATTTTATGCAGGTCTTCGGTTAGCTTGATGTGCTTATGTAATCTTGTATGGGTATGTTTTCTATTTCATTCATGAGTCAAGATTCAGTCGGTTCTAGCAGTTGCGTGTTGGTTCTTATTTACTAGGTACTAAAGTTGATATTGATTTTTGTTGTTATCATGAAGCTTAACTATTTTGTTTGGTAAAGTAATAAATTCTTTGTTTCGCCAATTGGTGATTAGAGTGGGATTCATTCATAGTTTAATAATAACTGAATAAGTATTGAGATCTATGGTTATTGAGAAAAAGTTAAAGATCTTGTAGAATGGGGTCAAGTTACCGATGTATGGCCACAGGTATTGTTGTAGGTTCGAACCTAAATAAAGGGACTTATCTACATGTTAATTTTTATTTTAACAATCATCTGGTAGATGATTATAATCATTAGACACGTATTTTTTAGTTTCTGTCAGAAACGAATACTTTCGACGATATAATGATCTGAAATGTCGCGTGACGTCACTTTTATGTACATTTAATACGTAGAAATGACGTTTTAGCCCCCCACTCCTAAACTTTGATTCGTTTTATCTAAGTATTGTTTTCATATACTACAAAATGAAAAAATACTAATACAAGTGTCTAATATTTTTTCATTACCTAACTTACGGACTAATTAGATTTTAGAGTGAACGAACTGAATGCAAATTAAAAAGTAATTTGCATTATGCTGTAGTAATGCAGATGTGATATACTTATAACTGCAATGCAGTTAGAATTGTACATAGTATCTATAGAGAAAATTACAAACGAGTAGACCTGCATGGACACCCGAATCCCAAACCACCAAATGCGATGCAAGTGCATTGCTAACCTTTTTGTGGTTAGGAATTTGAAGATTGTCCATTCGGGGATTAGAGAGATTGGGGAGCGGCATTTTTTTTATTTATTTAGTCTTTAATGTACATTCATAATTTAATTATGGCACATAAGACGAACTTAATGCCATATGGCATTATCTACCAGTCAACCTTAGGGTTTAAGTAGAAAATCTGTTTTCGTTCGTTTTGTAGCCTACCGTATTTTTACTTACGAAATGACGCTAGTGTGAACCTCTCGTTTATCTTCCAATAGGGAATTAGCTAGTGGCACACCTTTGGCGGTTCAATATGTGACAACTGCTATGATTGGACAAAAAACTTTTTCCTACTGAGGCGCCATCTGGTCAGCAAAAATATGGTAGCCCCCCATTGGACCTCTGGTTGCCTCACTCACACAACGAAACACAACGCAAGCTTCGTTTAGCTGTTACTGTCTACTGATGGTCCTGATGGACATGAGCTTCTTCACTAAGCAATGCTTTAATATAATTTATTTGTATGAAAATTTGCAGTAGCATGGCACAGACCGCTGTCGGCGACGTCACGACAGGAGGAGGAGTTAATGCAGAAATCTGCGCGCGCGCTGGCCGCCGCCACCGATCCGTTGGAGAAACTCCGCCTGCTCTGCTTGTCCCGCGGCGCGTCAGGCATACTGGGGCTTGGAAGGTAAACTGAAATAAAATATATTAATTTATATTACTACTAGCTTTTACCCGCGGCTTCGCTCACGTCACAAAAAGATAAAAAGTAGCCTATGTGACATATACCAATGCACAAAGCGCCATCTATACCAATACTTTTGTTTTCCCTCGGGAATATCAATTTTTTCCAGGATAAAAAGTACTCTATTATTTAATCCGGACTTCTAACTTTACGTTTGCAAAAATTCAAAGCAATCGGTTTAGTAGTTACGGCGTGAAAGCGGAACAAACAAACAAACAAACAAACAAACTCACTCTCCGATTTATAATATTAGAAAGGATTATGCTTTAAATGTAATATTTAGTTAACATTACAATAATATTTCAGGATCTTCCGACGAATGGATGACGATGGCAGTAAGCAATTGAACCAAGAAGAGTTTATCAATGGTATCAAGGAAACTGGACTAGAACTTAACCATGCGGTAATCAGCCTTATTACACATTAATATTTTTAACTAGAGATGTGCCGATTAGTCCATAACACCGACTAATCGGCGTACGTACATACTATGTTAGTACTTACTTATTTGACATCGTTATATGCAGATCTTCGATCAACAATAGCAACTTGTTAATCGAAGATGCAGATGGACATTGTGAACACAATTATTTGGTAGGATATTGTAGTTTTAAGATGTGTTACGTTTATTCATTATTAATTACTAGCTTTTACAAAAGGATAAAAAGCAAATGTGTATGTGACATATACTAATACACACAGCGCCATCTATACCAATACTTTTGTTTTTCCTCGGGAATGTCAATTTTTTCCGGGATAAAAAGTACCCTATTATTTAATCCGGACTTCTAACTTTACGTCTGCAATATTTCAAAGCAATCGGTTTAGTAGTTACGGCGTTAAAGTGGAACAAACAAATAAACTCACTTTCCGATTTATAATATAAGTAAGGATATTATGTTCTAGGATGCAGTGGAGCTGTTTAACAGGTTCGATACAGACAAGAGTGGTTCCATCAGCCTTGATGAGTTCTTAATACAGATTCGTGTGAGTATTACATTTTGAGATCTTCAGTGCATCAGCTAGAAGATAAGAGTATGACAAGTTATAACAATGTGTAGGAGAACCATAGTCTAGTACATGATCTTCGAAGACTGTGACTGTTTTCCAACCTAAAGAAACCCCAAGCTATGCGAAACTTAACGATATTTTTAATAAACAGAGCTTGAAACTGTGGGCCCTGTGTTGGCTCACCCTTTAGGGTTTTTTATTTCAGTTTTTGTGCACCGTACCAATTCCCAGGTAGTACCTAAAAGGAAAGGTTGATGAAATGGTCTATAAGATTAAATGGTCTATAAAAAGGGAGTTTTGGAAGCAGGCCAATGGAAGTCATTGGGGGAGGCCTATGTTTAAGAGTAGACGTCTTGTGTCTGATACGATGATGACGATGATGATTTTGTGGTTGACGATTTGGTCAGGTTATGATAACTCAAATTGTACTTTCAGCCTCCCATGTCAGAGTCTCGCAGGGCAATCGTGGAGCAGGCGTTCAAGAAGCTGGACAAGACAGGAGACGGAGTCATCACCGTCGATGATATCCGAGGTGTCTACTCCGTTACTGCACATCCCAGGTTCACAATTTTTATTTATGATTACTTTTCTACAGATTTATTATATGTATAGATAATTTATAGGAGACCAAATTTGATGATTTTCCTTTTGAAACCTTTTAATGTTTTATGTGTATTCGGGAACGGTTCAACCGCATTGGCAGATTTATTTTTAATATTTGTACCTACTTACCTATTTCCAGATGAGTTTGTCATTTCGTGTTTTCCAAATTTCAGATACATGAGCGGTGAAGAGACAGCGGATTTAATCCTGAACAAGTTCCTGGCGAACTTTGAGTCTGAGGGATCAGTGGACGGCAAAGTAAGCAGTATTCTTTTATTCTTCCGACTGCATAGTTGGCGCAGTGGCTGCTGTACTACGAGTCGAGGGTTCGATTCCCGCGCCGGCCAATAAGTGATAATCACCATCAGATTATTTTCTGAGTAAAATGACCTTTATTAGCTCGGAGTCAGGAAGTTTCGCGGTATTTCACCCCCATGTCTCGAAAAGCCGTTTATTCTGCGCCTGACCTCTCTCCGGTAGTATTGGTCTGCCGTCCCATTGGGTTCAGAGAATGGAGGAACAGAGATTGCATCTATGTATGCGCACACACTTGTGCACTACTAATATCTATATATTATATCTCCAGTGTAGTTGTCTTGTCAGCAGTTGTAGCCAAATGCCATTGAGCGCCTGTCTACATGTAGAATAGAAAACCAAATTATATGGAATTGACGTAAATTTTGACATTTGTCAGTGTCACCCCCATACATTTAGTTTTCTACTCTCTCTATAGACAAGCGCTAAAGTGGCGTTTGGCTAAAGGCTCTGGGCTATTGGCTAAATTTACGTCAATTCCATATAATTTGGTTTTCTATTCTACATGTAGACAAGCGCTAAATGGCATTTGGCTACAGCTGCTGGTTAGACAGACCGGCCGCCATGATCGAAGTCGATCAGGGATTTATTCCAAAGTTTTACATTAGAAAGATGCCTATTACAATATGCATACAATTTTATTTAGGATCGATATGAATTTCGTCAGTTTAACTAGTAGTTAAGTCATATATTTCAACGTAAATATTCTCCCGCAGGTTACTTTGGAGGAGTTCATGAACTATTACAGTGGTATCAGCGTTTCTATTGACAATGATTGTTACTTCGACCTGATGATGCGCCAGGCTTACAAGCTGTAAGGGAACAAACAGACGCCTCAACAAAAGTACGGACACCACAATCCTGTACTATAAACCTATTTTGCCTTGCCACACTGTTAAGATTTTCGTTTAGATGGTACTTTATGGTCGTCAAATGTGTTCTGTTAGTAGATACTTTAGAATTGGGTACTTTTCTTAAACAAAAATAAATTATTTCGATTGTGCAATGCAATAAAATTTAAAAAAATAATCATTCTTTCATCAATTGATTTAATGACCAACTTAATTTTAGTATGTTTCCAGCATTTTTTTTAAGTAATAAGAATGTTGTTTCATGCTAAAAAATCGTGACGCCACAATACTCAATCTCGCACAAAATTCATAGAAAACTGTCGTTTTTGACAGTTCGAAAAAGAGTATTGAATTTGACTAGTTGGCAAGTACCCAATTGTATCGAAGAGTTTTAATATACAGTCAGCTCATTTAGTAAGTGCTGGGAAGAAAATAAAGATGGACTAAGTACAGAGACAATAGATATTGTTATACTAAATTATATAGTTTATAATCAAGCCGTTGGTCGGTTCAGTAACCAACCAATGATTACTGTCTTTGTACTGGATCAACCTTTTTTTTCTTACCTGCTTAGTAAATAACTGTGCTGACATATAGTGGCCAACGAGTCAGTCTACTCTTTTCTGTTGAACTTTGTTATTTTGACATTAAGTTTAAAATCCAATAAAAATATCGATTATTTGTCGAGTAGGTTTAACTACTGGCCACTATACATGTATCAACACTTTAAAGTGTAAAGAAATTTGAATATCCAATAGTATTGTAAAACTTGAAGGTTGGAAATCTACTATAGAACACCTTGATGAATGTACCTATATTTAAACTGCTAGTTCAAAGAAGATAGTCAAGTATACATTTATAATTTGCCCCGATACGGCTATACCGTGCCATAGATTAATTTTGTATTTTGACATGCTTCATGTGTGTGTCACCGGGACAGATAATTAAAAATAATTATAATTGCGAAACCACCAATCCTAATACAGCTAATGTAGGTACTCGTAGGATTGTTTGTCCTTTTAGCACACATGTCAGCTTTACCATCCATTAGCGACCATTATATAACAATAAAACAACTGAATTTAATGTATTTGATCTGTTTCATTAACGAATACCTGTTTGCCTGTCAGCCTTGCTGTTCCTTTATTAATTGGTATATTTTTAAAGTTCCTAGTTTAATAAGATTGTTTTATAATTTCTCAATTTGCAGTCATTTAGTGTCCGTACTTTGTAGGCCTGCTTTCTTTAATTTTCCACTAACATCTTTCGATAGCCGTTTAGATGTTCCTGTGTGCACTTATATTTCTAATATAATTTAATACAGTTATATTTTTATTTAATAAATTATTATCGTGTGGTATGATATTTATGTTGGTTTCAATAAATTATATTCCTTTAAATTTAGTGTTTTCTTTCTAGTTTTAGCTTAGGTGCCCCTACAAGACAATGTGTGTTATAAATAGCTGGATTATGATAATTTTCGCTTCTGCCAATGGCTTCGATCGCGTTCCCGCGTGGAATGAAAAGCCTATGTGTTATCCCAGACTATTATATTATTTAAATACTAGCTTCTACCCGCGGCTTCGCTCGCGTCACAAAAGGATAAAAGTAGCCTATGCGACATATACCAATACACACAGCGCCATCTATACCAATTCTTTTGTTTTCCCTCGGGAATATCAAAATTTTCGGGGATAAAAAGTAACCTATTATTTAATCCGGACTTCTAACTTTACGTCTGCAAAAATTCAAAGCAATCGGTTTAGAAGTTACGGCGTGAAAGCGGATCAAACAAACAAACTCACTTTCCCATTTATAATAGTAAGGATTTAAAAAGCTTTATGCACAAAAATAAGCACATGGGTGGACTTAATGTTACAGGCATTTTCTACTAGTCTGACCCTTAGGTGATGCAGAGAAAGTAATCAGCGGGTGCAAGAACATGCGTTGAATTTAACTATTTGAAAGAACACATACATAACTCGACAATATACACAAATATACTACAACATAACTAAATATATTATATTGAAGAATACATAACTATAATAATACATGTATGTATACATACATACATATAATACACAATGTATAGTCAATGTGTATTATCTACCAGTCTTTCAAATGTCGTCCCGAACCCTTCAGCCGTATAGATGTAATTGACGTGGTGTGGGTACCAAGGGTACTTCCACACATAATAATAAAACTGAGAACATGAAAATTCTTTCAATTAATGACATTTAAAAATACTAACCGAGGGTGTTACTACGTCGATATAGAAAACAAAAATGTGGTAAGATATTTTTTTATTTTAAGCCGTCGCCCCATAATAGGATTTTCTCCTGTGTCGTGGGTGCGTTTACAAACATACAAGTTCACATACACATGACACCCAGACCCGATACAACAATCTGTGGATCACACAATGAGTTGTTCTGTGAATCAAATCAACTATTTGTCCAACCACCGCGCCAACCGTGCAGACGAACGTTTGTCTGTATGTTTGTGCATGCACCACGTGAAAACTACTGATCCAATTCGAATGCGGTTTTCATAGATGTATTCGTCTAACGTTAACATCTGGTGTGTTAAAAAATGTCTCCCCTCTACCCCTTGAATGGGACAATCAAGGGACAGTAGTGATGATAGAATTATATAACGTAATATAACGTACTTTTTCTTGTTTTATAGATATCTTACCCTATTAAGAACCTAACGGGTAACCGGGGCTCCGGCTCGACGTGCAGGAGAAGGAACGGGGTGGTTTTTAGTCAGTAAGAGTCTGACACTCCCTTCCGCCTCACCCAGGCGGGAGCAGCCATTCGATGATTTTCCCCCCTTAAAAAATAAACCCTATTACATATCGATCCTTTACTTCTTTTTTTGAAGGGTGAATATCATCTAATGACTTCTCCGGCCTTGGTTTAGGCAAGAGGGAGTGACTCTTACTGACTAAAAACCACCCGGTTCCTACTCCTGCTCTTCGAGCTGGAGTCCCGCCAATACGTTAGGCCTTCCGCGGCTCCGTATCGAGCATCAGGCCTACTGGACCCCATCTGTGGTGGTCTGATGGCTCTTTGAGACGCGGGCGGAACTCGTCACGCGGTACGCACGCATCTGGTTCTAGTGGGCGGTAAGCTACCCTACACCGTCCGTAGACCCGCTCTTACGGAGGCCGGAGATCGTCATGCGATCTCCAACTCTCAGAGTGTCTTTCCTCCACAGCTGGGGTGTGAGAAGATTTGTTCTCTTATTTGCCTCGCATCCTCTTTGGCTATCATGACTGTTTCGTAGAAGGGGGAGACTGCACTCCAGTTCCCTTCATTCCGCACCATGGTCCGAACCAGTGCCGGATGCGAGAAGTCGCTGTCGCCGACCACATCCCTGAGGACACGGCGGTGCTCAGCCCACGCAGGGCACACCACCAACGTGTGCTCCACCGTGTCCTCCAGGCGGTCCTCGCAGTGATGAAACCCGGGCGTTCCCTCCCGTCCAATCCGAAACAGGAACCTACCGTAAATCCCGTGTCGGATTAGCACCTGCGTCAGGCGGTGAGGACGCCGTAGTGTCTCTCAAGCCACTCCTCAAAGAGCAGACTTACCGCTGCAATGACAGCGAGACCAATAGATTATTTACCCCGCAGAGTATAAACTCTGTGTAGGACCCCTAAACGTTATTGTAACTTCATGGGAACTAATATAGTCTGTTTTGACGTATCTTGGCTTGTCATATTTGAATACGAGATCTTGTAGAAATTTACCTAATTTTCTAAGTAATTCTTTGATAATATTGTAATTGATACAAGTAATTGAAAATCTTCTATTTCTAATATGTAACTAGTATATGTGTATGTGTGGAAAGCAAGAGATGTAAAGTTTGGTGTCAAATGTGGAAAGGAAAGTGAATTATAGCTTGAGAGAGACCATACTATGTTGACTCCTAAAGGCTCAACTTGTTCTATTGATAACCGAATGTGTTCTAGTGCCAACACTTATGTGTTTAAGTTAATTCTGAGTATGGTAACCGAAGAATGAAAGTAGAATGTGGTAGATATGCGTTCCTTTATAGATTTGTATTATTTTGATTGTTCGGTTGAGCATTGAGCAACTTTATCAAAAAACCGTTGTAGTATACAAAATTGTGTACCAAAATCGAGAAAGGTGCAAGGATGGTAAGTGCAAGGATGGTATTGAGGGCTGGATGTAATAAAAAGAACGGGAGGAAAGCAGTACCTAGGTACTACGAAAGTTACTTATAAAAGTCACCGCAAAGAGTTTATCCCAAATCGGAATATCTTCAACCAGTATGTCAAGCAGTGTACTTGTATGTACTAGATGTACGAATTTAATGAAAGTTAAATAAAAATATTAGGTTTGTAGTAAGTAGCCTGTAGTTTCTGCCTGCCTGTGCCGACAAAGGAGTGATTGTATGTATGTATACAATGTATGTAAGTGTGAAACAATCGAGGAATACTGTAAAAGTAAAAATACATTGTGCAAATACAACAACAAATGAAATATTTCTTTTTAGATAATTGGCAATCATGTGTCGCACAGCAAATGCAATGATACAAACATTAATATGCGCCTGTCAAATGTTAGTAAGGGTGTTTATGGTCTCTATAATGATGTTGGAAAATTTACTCAAACTTATATTAAATTCATTCTACAACTTCGTGTCCATAATACTACAGATGATATCCCTGTTACCGATTTGCTTTGTGTTCGTTGTGACTGCGAAAGTAAAGTCCATGGTATGTGGCGGGGGTGGCGGCGGAGGGGCACAGAGCGCCGGCTGTGACGCAGTGATGGCCATAATAAGCATGTTGGTGATATATTCCCTTATGAAATCCACTGGAATGCTTGATAAACTTTTAGCAAACATGGGATACACCAAACACTCAGGCCCATGATTTTGTTTATTATAAGCTGAGAGTTTCAGAACAAGTAATTATAAGTATGTCTGCAGAAAGTACATCTGTGTGTTGCCGTTAATATGTCCTATGCCCTCCAATCAAACCAATCTCAGATTAGTGTCGGAGATTAATGAGTTGCAAATTTATCTAGAAGATGGAATGATCTTCAAATAATACAGTAAGCGCTCATTTTTGTAATAGACTTACTGATTATATCAAGGGAGTTGAAATAAAGGCGGACATAATGATTGAAGCACGTAAATGTCAGTGGCTTATTTATGTGTGTGTGTGTAATGGGTTACCACGTTACCAGACTAAATGATAAATGACTTTCATGACAAAATGTGCATGTTCTGCGTGTAAGTCTATAGTAACCAGGAGCCACAGTCGTTGTTTCAAGTAACTATGTTCGCCTTTTTTAGCGTCCTTGAATTATATTTATAACTAGCTTTTACCCGCGGCTTCGCTCGCGTCACAAAAGGATAAAAGTAGCCTATGTGACATATACCAATACACACAGTGCCATCTATACCAATACTTTTGTTTTTCCTCGGGAATATCAATTTTTCCGGGATAAAAAGTACCCTATTATTTAATCCGGACTTCTAGCTTTACGTCTGCAAAAATTCAAAGCAATTGGTTGAGTAGTTACGGCGTGAAGGTGGAACAAACAAACAAACTCACTTTCAGATTTATAATATTAGTAAGGATAATTAATGGCTGTGGCTATAATTATGTGCACGGCAGTACTACCGCCAAGTTGAGTGAGATGCACACACTGCCGTACCATCCTTTACTGGATAACACATACCTACCCAAAGACATTAAATTTTCCTATACATTTTGTGTATGTCTAACGTCCAGTTTCTATAACCTATCTATCTGTAGATTTACTTACTAGAGATAGAATATTGACACATTTTGTATGGAGCTCATGTCAATATTCTATCTTTAGTAAGCAAATCTACAGATAGATAGGTTATAGAAACTGGACGTAAGTATATACTTACTATTCCACATTCAAAATCTTGTTATTTCTTTTACGGTATTATAAATTGTACAATTAATGTGTTATTCATTATGTATTTACTAATTACGAGAAGTAACGGACAGATTACCGCGTTTCCCCAGTTTTGTAATGAGTAATAATATATTGCTGTAGACGTAAAATACATATTATGATTGCGAATTGTACTTAGTGAAACCGACAATAGCCCCACTACTTACAATACTTTCCTGTAATTTTCTTACGGTAGTTATACTTTGCAAAGAGACTTTGAAAACGAATAATGTTTAAGTAATATTTTATTTTTGTACAGATTTCCTGTATATGAAGTTTTACACGTTGCAGATACTCAAATAATTCTTATTTGAGTGACATCAAGAGAACATACGAATACCCTTCAATATGACAGTTTTAAGAAATATTTCTAGATAATTTTAGCTTATTGAATAATGTTTATTTTGTAGGTATATTATATTATATAAATTGTATTAGAATATGACTATCGTGTTTATTGATTTGCGTTAGGAAACACCTTTTTTATCACATTATAATACCTTTTTTTTAAGAGGAGAAAATCATCGCTGCCTTGGGGTCTTGGGTTCAATTCCCAGGTCGGGCAAAGTATTACTGGGTTTTTAAAAATTCTCAGTAGTAGCACGGAGTCTGGAATTGAAAAGTGGGTGTTACATTGTAAAGTGGCATTAAGTGCCGTAATGTACACCTCTGCCTACCCCTTCGGGGATAAAGGCGTAAAGTTATGTTATAATCCGACAAAAGACTCACCGAGCCTTTTCCCAACATCAAAATACTGTTCACCGGTACGCGTTAGGAATACCTATAGGACAGATCATGTCTTAGGGTCACGGGTGTATAGATTAGGGATTCCAGCCCATCGACCGGCCTCAGGGAAGACGCTAACTAAGTAGTTACGAGCTGCCGTGCCCAGCAAGGTTCTAGAGAGATGTTAGTGTCCCTAGGATATGCCTTTAAAAGCGTTTGCACTGTAGGGGCTCCGGAGCAGCTGTATTAGAGCACCCGGTGCTTCTTACAAGTGCTGAGGGTAGCCTCCCAGGCTGTTTTAATAAGGTTAAAATCCCATATTCGTAGTCTTTCGACTTCAATTTCTGGATTGAAATTGACCACAGAATGCTAAGCACCTTTAGAAGATTTCCCTCATCATCATACAGTTCCTAGCACGTGTTACTTATAAAACCTTAAAAACGATGTATATAGAAGAAAAACAAAAATCTATTAGAAGATGACTTCTGTCATTATTATAATTTTTTGACAAATATGTATTTTTTATAATCCCTTTTACATGTTTTGATATTTTTTTTTATTTTTACACATTTTATATTTTTATTTACATTTTTACAAATAAAATATTGTTGAACCGATGAAACTAATTGGAAACAATATCATTCTATCAATACCGGCCAGCAGGTAATATGTTAGATACAATATTAAATGTATATTTGGGGGTTCTTGGTTACATTGCGAAATTACACAGAGAAAATATCATCGTATACTTAATAGAAAGATGCGTCGGCTTTTGGGGTAGTAGTAAAAGCTAAGCAATCTCAATTTACCAGAAATCTATTATGATTTTCTTAGATTAGACTTGGTAACAAATTGGGAAGATACACATTCTATGCATATTCATCATTCATGTCATGAGCTTAGCTTAGGTACAAGTCTCCCCATAATTTTAATGTATGTACAAATAGATAGAAACACCGTACTGAGACCAGAAATCAACTGTCTGATATTTATATGTTCCAGATACGTGATGAGCAATGTGTCGCACAGTGCATGCGGTGCTGTCAACTGTAATATGCGGCATACAAATGTTAGTGAGGGTCTTCATGACCCTCATACTTATGATAGAAAACGTCATAAGAATGCTTCTACAAACATTGTATAATTTTATATCATTCGTGTTACAAATGGTGTCATTAATACCTATTTGCCTAGTGTTCCTGCTGACGTCCAGGCTTAAATGTCTATTTTGTGGCGGAGGCGGGGCATGTCCCGGCAACAGAGGCGGCGCTGCTGATTGCGTTATGTCATTTTTGGCTATTCTTATCATATTCTTTATATTCAGAGCTACCGGTGTCCTTGATAAGATATTCTACAGTCTAGGCTATACGAAATATGGAGCTACAACTTTAGCTAGGACAGTAACAGCTGATGTTAGATTTATACCAACACCGGGAGAAATCACTGAGTGCTCGAGGAACGACACTGATGGGCCCGAAAAAGAGCTACGAGAATTTATTGATAGGTTTGGCACTCGCCCCTTACCGGAGACAATGACTTGGACAGAACCAGACACGATGTCAACATATCTCTTACGGGAAACTAGCTATAATAATTTTACTACAGTAATGTATTACTTGGTGTAACAATACAATTGGTACAACTTACTTGTGTTTTTTTATGACTATACATGACATGACTATACAAACTTAAATGTAGTGGGCTTTAATACCTATTCCCCTTTGTAAAAATATTTTATTACAACTGTATATTTACTGCCTGCTGACTGTCTCGTTGGCCGAGTGGTCGTAGGCGTGATTGCCGGGCAAGGGCCTCGGGTTCGATTCCCGGGTCGGGCAAAGTATTACTAAGTAATTAAAAACATCTCAGTGGTAGCACGGAGTCTGGAATTGGGCCCGTTATATGGCAATAGGCTCATCTCCTATAACATGGGACTCATAAACAGTGAAAAGTGGGTGTTATATTGTATAGTGCCACCCCTTATCTGCCGGTATATGAGACATAATAGAAAACATATTGTGTCTCGCGTATGTATACATACGTCCCCGGCATACCAGGGGTTAAGTGCCGTAATGTGTCCTACGCCTTCAGAGATAAATAGGGTTCGATTGCTGGGTCAAACAGGTACTCTGACGATTCGGACGTGGCTTTACAATCTTGAGCTTGTGCTACAATAAAATCACTAACTAACAGCAACAGAAAAATGAAAAATCAATTTATTTGTGCTTAATAAATATAAACTTTCAATAATAAAAAGTTTCTAATCCTAATAGACAGGAATTTTATATTGGTCTGTAAAAAGTTGTAATCTGTGGTAATCCTACATTGCCACAACAATACATTTATTTTGTAAAAAAGCTAATAAGCTAAATAAAATATTAAATAAAAATCTGGAGCAGTATTGTAAAACACAAAAGAATTTCAAATGTGATGTATTTATTAAGTAATTGAAAGCAGATACAGTTACAGTTGTTAACGGTACAGACCACGGCAGTGGATACGGCAAAGAGTACATGGAGTTAATAAGTTTATAAGAAGAATCCAGTGACAATGTGTGGCTCGTTGGTCTACGCACTCCGCACGTTGGTCGTGGCGCCAATTTATTGTACTTTACAAACAATAGTACGTATTTTCCTGTTGATATTGTTTGCGATAGAGGATTTCTTGCGGTTGATAATCCACACAGTCCACACTGTAATAACAACTTTTATGCAAATAATTAGATTACTGCCGTGGTGCTTAGTGTCCAGCTGCGCTAGACCCTGCTGTTGTTACCCCTCGCGAGGAGGCACCAGCTATGGTTTACTATGCGTCATAATAGTCGTAGTTATGCTACTGATACTTTATTACACGACTTGGGTGCAAGACACTTTTGAAGTTTTAAAAACATATTTTAAACGTTTTTTTACTAAAGATAATAAACTGTCAAATATCGAACAGGCTCAAAATGCAGAAGATGCTGTAAATGCTATTTTTTATGACAATAATGATGAACAAACAAATGTTGTAACAACTGAAGCTATAACAGTTGATGAACTGTTACACTTGCAAAATGGAAGATTAAAACTGGATTACGTGATTCGTATATAGGTAAATTAAAAGAAAAGGTATATGAGGTTACAGAAAATGATAATAATTATGAATTTGCTACTACGGTATTAAACGGATATATAGAAGATGGGAATGTTAAAAACGACACAAAACATCTTAATAAGCTGTATGCAGTATTTTTGAATGGGTAGGCAATATGGTTAAATATTATGTGAAAGTTTTGTTAATTTTGTTTATACTTTTTTGTTATGTTGATATTGTTCTCTAAATAAAACCAAAAGGGTTGTAATAGTTAATGTTTTTTGGTAATAAATTAATATAGTAGATAGTTCGAGTGCTCCTTTCATTACTGTATTAATGGTCATGGGGCTCTGATACTTTTTAATTCATTGGATATGTTATTGATTGTTTCTAAATACACCAACACATTAAATTACTTTTAACCCTTTGAGTACCGTCATTATAGACACAATTAAAGAACAATAGGTTGCAGTCACCGGTGTCCACACAGAACATATAAAGAAGGCTTTATATGTTCTGTGGGTGTCCACGTGGTGTTTGACAGTTTAAGGGTAATTTTTTTTATGGATTAGGTTGAAAGCGAGCAGACGGATCACTGATGGTAAGCGATAATTACGTAAATAAATAACGGAGGTAATAGATCAGTGTAATAGCGTGTAGTCGTATAGGGACCGACGATCAAGCACGGTGCAGGAGCTAGACCAACACATAAATTAAAGGGCAACGGCGCATCTAGCGAGAATATTCTCAATGTTCATTTAAGTTTACAACTTTAGACCATCATGAAATGCGAAGAATAAGAGAATAAATATAAACTGGAGTTGTTTAAAGTTGTTTTCAATAGTGCTGTCATGCTCAATCCAAACTCAGTATCTAAAGTATGGATAAGAAACTATTTGGATATTACTGGCTTCAGACAAATCTTTTTGATCAGAAAAAGATTTATTTCTTTAGAAAAAAAATAGTTACTGACATGATTGACATAGCAATAATTTTATTATTTTTTTCAGAATGAGATGACACAAGTGAACTTTAATTTATATTTGTTCTAAATTGTGTTGTAATGTGATTTTCAGAGTTGATGCGTTTTCTTGCTTAGAGAATTATTTGAGAATGGTGTTACAAATTTCATTATGCGTGGTAGAAAAATAAGAAGTCTTGGAATGCACACTCCATGTTTGGAGTATTTGTTATTTTATAAGAGTGAGTTTTTTACAGAAATTTAATCTATAGGTACCTAATCATACCTAAGTTCTTATCAATTTAAAATGAACGAGATTCGTTCTGCATCTATTCGTAGAAGTTGTTTAACCAAACCCCTTCACATCTGCTCGGACGGTCCACTGCTGATTTGGCCTCCTCAGCTTAAAGACGTAACATACTTTTATGTCCTTGAATAATCATGTGCATTAAAATTTTGTTTGTTCAAACAATCAAGGCTTCTCCTTTTATAATATTAGTACATATTTAATAAATGTTTTGAATTGGTTAACACTGTGGACATTTCTCTATTTTCTAATAATTAGATTCCTTTTATTTTTCAGGTTAATCACGTTGAAAAATTCATGACGACTCCGGCCAATTACTCTTTTAATGTAACGTATTGTAACATTGCTATTAATATTTGTAAATAATTTTGTTGTAAATGTTGTTAATTGTATTGTGAATGTGTAAAGATTTGATGTAAAGTTGTTTAGTACACAATGAAGCGACACAGCATACGATCTGCAAGGAGTCGATCTAAGCAAACTTCTGTTAATAAACTTAGTCAGGGTGCAACTAGGATTGATAGACTATACTATGGTAAATATTTACCATTACGAGAAACAAAGTTACTTGAGCAAATAATGAAAACACGCACTGCTTACGATGATGTGCGTAATGAGCTAATGTCAGGCAGTGGCAGTAGCGAGCATACGCAAACAGGAAATGAATTGAGATTACGAGACCACCACGACACTAAAAAAAATAATGCGGCCATGAAAACTGTTGGTCTTGAAGACAAAGGTCGCTTTGGTTCATCAAATGAATGTAAATTAAGCAACTGTTGCAGTTCTTGCTCTTGTTCTTGTACTACTTTAAAAATTGTTGAGAAACATAAGGAAAGGCATCAACCGCCTTATGGACATCATGTACCGTCTGAAAATATAACTAAATACACTGTTGAAGCTGAAAAAACGAATAGAAGACGAAGAAGGAGACTTAGTACAAAAATAAGTTCAAAATTTCGGAATATCAACTACAAAATGAAAAGGATTCAATCAGAACCTTTAAGTAGTATAGTAACACGTCCATCAAAAGTGATTATAAATAGAAGCCGATCAAAAGCGACAGCTGTTGAAAATGGTAAAATTCAGAAAGAAAATAATAAAAAAGATCCCCTTAGAAAGAATACTTACGCCTTTAAAATAGCTAAAATGCCTATGAACTCGTCGAAGAAAATTAAGAACACCCATCATAGCGCAACTAAAGATGACTGTATAGATATAGAAAAACAAAAACCTTTTGAAATAACAAAAGATTCATTATCATTGTTTAGGCAAAAGATAAAAAAAGACCACACTTCTTATAAATGTGAACCAGGATCCTGTTTTGTAGATAATTGTATACCAGAAAATTGCCTCTACAAGATTAATACTAGGAACTTAGGGTATACAATAAGAAATAAGTGTTGTAGCCACTATTCTGGCTCAGGAAGATCTCATGCATCAGTGACCAAGCGACTAAGAAATCGTAATACAAGAAAATCACACGACCAAGTCACAACTACTCGTACTGCGAAACAAAAGTCATTTTCTTCAATGACTACACTTTCACTACGAAATTCCCTCACGGGTACGGATTACGTGAGAACAGAACCAAAGAAGGTAGGGACTAAATGCCCAAAACGTAAACCTTTCACTCAAATCAAAACGGAAAAGACTCTAGCATCAGAGCATATGCCGTGCAAGCGTACAGCATCTGTCATATTTTGCAATAGAGGACAGGAATGTAAACCAACTAGAAAATGCTCTCGCTCTTTGACGACAATGCTGCATAGTCATACTTTGCAGTCCGTTCCAAAGACGGAAATAACAAAAGTAATGAAACCAGTCACGACAAGGCCACGACAACAACTTGCCACACGGAAAAGTGAAGAAAAAGCATGTGAAACCGATCATTTAAATAATAAGCGAATGCAAAATCAATCTGAAAATAAAACTGAGTCAATTTCTTCAAGCTCAGGTGTATTAAATAACCAAATTACAAAATTGAGACAAAAAGAAAAAAAGATTTATACAATTAGTCAACAGAAACCGATAATTCATTTTAAAAGTCGAAAAGTAGAACCATTCAAAGTTTTAAATAGATCTACTTCTTCAATGACTAAAGCTGAACTCGTGAATCCATTAAAACAGGAAAAACGATATAAGATATTAAATCATACAATTAGTAAAGAACCGGAAGAGAGATGTACATCAGGGAGAAAAAAAAATGTTAAGAATAGCCAACCTATTAGAACACAACTAATGTCAAAAGCTAGCCAAGCTCCTCTTTTACCAATTGCCAATAGATCTCGGCACAGAAAAAATCAATGTGATTCTGGAAATTGTGATCAAAGATTATTATATAAAACTAAAGGGCGACGAAACGCAATTAGTGTACAATCACCAAAAAATACAGAAAGAATTTTTAACAAGCCTAGAGCAAAAATAGTGCAAGGATCACCTATAAAAAATTTAGGAAATTGTTCAAACGTAAATTATTTTTACCCACATCGACGGGCTGGCAGAAATATATCTAATTTTGGATTCTACAAAAATAAAACAGGCATGGAAGGTGGTGATCAAATGCATTCCAAATATAGAATGAAACAGAAAGGTGTTCAACTTGAGCGTAAAAATCATGGCCACAAAATGCAAAATATAAGTCGATCTAGTCATAACGCAGCTTCGCAATCAAGATCCTCACAATTTAAAAACAAACAATTTGGTAACAGGTTAAAACAATGTTTATGTTCTTTAAAGCTTTTTCAAAAGAAAAGAGAGAAAAAGTTACACGTTGCAACTAAAAAAACTATAGCGTCGATTTATACAGAAGAATTAAAAAACGGTGGTCACAAAAAACAAAGGCAAAATAAACAATTAGGAGTTTCCTTAGTGACACCGCCTCTTGCATCAATCCGAGCTCGACCAGTACCATGTGAGCCATTTTTTTGCACTCCTGAAGAGTGTAATGCGTATGATTGCGCAGAAAGAAAAAAATTAGGAATCATACGGCTAGACGCTCAAAAGTCACAAATACTATTCCTATATCGAAAAGGTCATCAGCGGTGGCAACAAGGCCACTTTCTAAATCGATATCAAGAAAAATACAGTTCAACGAAAATAGACTCAGAAAAGAAAAAGGAAGCAATGCCAATATGTCGAAAATAAAATCCGAAAAGAAGCAGTATACGTTAAAATCAGATAACACTACAAAAAAAGAAAATCAGGGATATCTGCAGCCAGGAATAAATTCTCACAAACCATATGATCATCATAAGAGTTTAGAGACTAAAGCTGATGGACCAAAACACACTTACACGAAGCCATTCTTGAAAAAATGGCTATGTACATTAGGTTTACGGAAAAATAATAAGGATTGTCTGGAAATCTCACCTCCCTTGCGCAGTAGAAATGCACCGCATGTCATGCAATTACAAAATAAACTGATTACTGCTAACAGAGCCGACATTATTTATAATTATGCACGACCTAAGCTTTTATATGAATACAAATCCGAAACACGAGCATCCAATGTAAATGGAAATCTTATAAAAAATAGTCAAAGGACGCAAGAAAATACTAATACAGTACACCGTAAAGCTATTAGTGACAACCCAAATACTTCAACAAAACAATATAATCAGAATAACGATAATCGACACTCTGATTGCAAGACGAACTTTTTAAATCAATGTTATTTACCAGTACCAACAGGATCACAGCTGAACTTTAATAATGAATTTTCTATACATCATCACTCTTTAGCTTCTAAAGCTAAAAACTGTGTTTATCAAAAAGCATTCGATGTGACACCGATACAACAATATAAAAACACCCACAGCTATTTTGGTACAGTAATTAAACGTTTCTTTTCGTTTAATCTAAACAAGAAAGATAAACAGCTGGAAAAACAAAATATTATTTTTCAACAAAATACACAAGCTATGTATGTGAGTTCGCATAAAAATGTTAATCGAAATGCGACGAAAAGTTAAATAAATCAAATGTATATAGAAAACATTGTGACGACGACTCTAACCATTACATTCCTAAAGCAAAAACGTATAATCCATGTGGGTATTATGATGGAACTCAACTACAACAGATGCCGCGAGCGTTTGACAGCTGTATAAGGACGGACAAACCTAAGAAAAAATCAGTAACTAACTATTTAAAATCAAAAAGTACACAATCCAAGATATTTAAAAAATATGCTAAAAGTATACCACATAGAAATGGAAGAGCGACACATCCTCGTTCAAGTTTACGCCTACCAATTCCAATTAGATCAAATTTGAATGTAGGTCTTTCGAGAAATCGCACTGCATGTGTAATTCAAAATTCAAAAGACATATATTACAATGATACTGTATGTGAACCAACAGTAAAGCGTCAACTATCTCAAAAAATTAAAAGAGAAGATAGTATATCTAAAAGAGATTCTTTACTAAAGAGATATTTCTATAAACCAATACTTGAACAAAACAACACTAATTCAAAACCAAAAACAAGCCATCGCCAAACTAATTCCAATCAATTTATGACTACTAAATTGAACTCTAATGATTTACAAGCAAGTAGGAAAAATCCTCAAAGTATTTCCAAATCAGACTTCATATTTGGACAAAACAGTATCAAAAAAGCAAATTATAATGCAAAAAGAATACAATACAACTACACTTTAGGTAAAAGTAGGCAGTTTAGATCTCGAACAGATTTTAATGTCAGAGAATATCAAATTGGATACTGTCTAAGTACACGGGAAAATAATCCATTTAAGCCATCGTTGTACGCACCAAATGTTAGAGCTTTCAATTTCAGAAATGTTCCACTTAAGGTACCTACTAATTATCTGCTTGAGGTCAACAAATGTGAACCTGGTGTTTGTTCTCAATATGAATGTGATATAAATAATCATTTTCAGAAGTCAAAATTATATTATGCTGACACTTTGGGATCAAATTTAGTGGGATGCTATAAGCATAAATCAGACGAAAAGGCAGACATAATATACTCAAAAACACAAAATGTTGGTAAAAGTAAAAATCGACCTATAAGATCTCATGTTAATACAAGAATGGGAGTTAACAATAACGTGGACCGATATAGAAAACCTGAGTTAGACAATCAAACATTTTTGTCAAAATGTTTTCGGTCACTGTTTAAGAAAAATAGACACAATAACGTAAACCAATCGTTCATGACAAAAAATCATTCTGATCCTTCACGAAAAGTTCCTCACTTCGGATCTGATTTACTTAATAACGCAAAATTTTTAAAACAAGCAAAGCCTGATCAAAATTTTGCTAGTAACGACAAAACACAGACATTGATCAACAACCATCATATGCGGAACATAAGCTCACAAGTGCATTATAAAACTCATAGTAGAGCTACGGGTATAACAAAATTATTAAGGCGGTGTTTTTGTACGGCAAACATGCAATACGAAGTTCAAAAACAAGCTAAATCTCGAAAAGTGTTAAATAATTTGAATCTAAATAGCCCAATAATTAAATATTCTAAAACTACAAGGAAACTGAAACATTTTGAAGAACCCATAAAACTTGAGAGAGCTACGAGAACAAAAATATATAATGTAACCAAGGACGAATACAGCAAAGACAATTTCAAAGAAAGAATGAGTCATAGTACAAGAACTTACAAACGAATACATCAAAACAGTCAGATTATTAGAACAAATTATCCAACATATAATACCACATCATATCTCTCGGAAAGAAGTCGTACTTACCAACCAAAAGTACAATATAAATCAAGAGAATGGTTGCCCTATCCCAACTACTGCGTTTTACGATGTGAAAATTCAGAGAACTCTAAATTTGTTCAATTTAATTCTAACTTCGGGATGTGCATAGATTATCCCAAAAATAAACATGGAAAACCTTGTCCTGGTACCGCAATGGACAAATGTAATCAATTACAAGGAACAGGCGATGGACATGGTAATTACTTACTTTCTCATAAAATATTGTTTATATATATTGTAAAATCAATTATTACAATCTAACTTATTTGTAATAATTATGTTTTAGGTCCAACGGCAAGAGAAGGAAAAGCTTCCAAAAAAAGTCAAATAGAAGTTGATTATACAGATAAGAGTATTGGTGAACAACAATTGAATTCTAAAAATACACAATTTAAAAGAAAGACGAAATCTAAATCAAAATCAGTTACTACAAGCCCCGATACTCGTACTCAACAAGAAAATATAAATGGAAATAACCCAACCATAATTATACTGGAAGAGAAGGAGGGTGGTATTATACAAGCCACTCAAACAGATAGAGAACTGAAGACTATAATGCCATACTCAAAGAAGAAATTTGATAAACTAGACAGTACAACTAAATTATCACATCACTCAACTAATACGCCAGCTATCAAGAAAACAAGAACAAAAGGGCAAAAAAGAAACGAAAATCTCGTGAGCAATAAATATGGTGATTATCTCGTATATCATCAACAAAGTCTTAAATGTAACACAACTTGCCAATACGGTCAAAAAACAAAAGGTTCTGACAACAAGTCACCTGGAGATAATATTGTTGCAGATCGCAACGCAAAGCAAGATAATATTATCACAAATCGCAACGCGACGCAAGATAATATTATTGCAAAGCGCGAGGCATCGCAAGACGATAGTGATGAAACCCGTCTTGACCGAATCAGGAAAAACTTTCGACGAAGACCGAGAGAAAAAAGTGACATCCAGAGACCGCTTTCTGAAAATATGGCCCCAAAAGGTAATATTATTGTATTGGACAAAGATGAAGAGCTTCCACGTTCTGATCACCAAAGACCATTGGGAAGATGGAGACATCAAAACGGTATTTTTTTCTATAAATCTTAATTAAAACAAGTATGTTATTGCTTTAAGTATCTAATTATATATTTATATTAGATATACATACACAATAAGATTGACTGTAACGGTTCTAAATTACATTAGGCATTCTAAACACTTCTTCTAACCTCTCTTAGTCAGTTTCTTAGTTACCTTGATTCTGTTCTTTCCAACGCTTATTATTAGTTCATTTGCAAAGAGGGAGACTTCTAAAATTTAATAACTCTATAACACAATGATTTTTATCGTTAACGCTGATTAAAGTAGTTTTTATGCACTTCTGAATCTTTGAAAGGTACTCCTTCAGTTTTCATTTTTTTAAATATTTAATTGGTAATGAACAATGTTCACACATGTCCGAAAATATAAATGGAACTAGCCCAGTAAGACCTACAATAATTATAGAGGTACTTACCTAAACAGACAGAGAACTGAAGATTATAATTCCATACTATTTTTTTTATAGACTGCACTGGACAGCTTAATTATTAGCTTGGCGCATTAAGCCAATACGCCAAGTTTTAATTTGACATAACACATAATATCACGCCTTTTATCCCCGAAGGGAAAGAGGTGCACATTACGGCACTTAATGGCACTGTACAATGTAACACCCACTTTTTACTATTTATGTTATGAGCCCCATGTTAAATTGTGACCGGAATATAGCCATATACCGGTCACAATACTAGACTCCGTGCTACTACTGAAATTTTTTAAAATCCCTTGCCCGACCCGGGACTCCTTGCCCGGCAGTACCAATAAAAAAGATGATAATTTCGTATATCATCGACAAGAATCGATATAAATGTGGCCAAATCTATCAACCAATTTAATCGATTTAGCCACTTTGGCAACCAACTAAAAGGTTCGGACATCAAGTCACCTGAAGATAATACTGTTACAGGTCGCAACGCTAAGCAAGATAACATTATTGCAAATCGCAAGGCAACGCAAGATGATATTATTGCAAAAGGCGACGCAACGCAAGATGATAGTGATGATACTCGTTTTGAACGAATCAAGAGAGCCTTTAGACGAAGACCGAGAGAAGAAATTCATGTGCATGGAGGTAATGTTATTATTTCCGACGAATACGATGAGCTTCTACGTTCCGATCGCTATATTTTTTCTCTATAAATTTCATTTATAACAAAAGTATGTTATTGCTAAAGCTTGTAGTATCTCATATAATGATTGTAACGGTTCTACATTATATTAGACTTCCAATATACTTCGTCACACTTGAATAGAATCTAATTTAACCTACTACTGTACTTTTCAACACTTTTTTTTTGAGGGGGTTAAATCATCCATTTACTTCTTCCGCCCGGGTGAGGCGAGATCTGTCAAACTATTACTGACTAAAAACCACCCCGTTCCTACTCCTACAATTCGAGCCGGAGCCCCGGTAACGTGACTGCACAGTTGGTGCGGTGGCTGGGCAACCGGCTGCCGTGCAACGTGTCGCGGCTTCGATTCCCGCACGGGACAACACTTTGTGTGATCCACAAATTGTTGTTTCGGGTCTGGGTGTCATTGTGTATGTGAACTTGTATGTTTGTAAACGCACCCACGTGAGGGGCAACGTATTTAAAAAAATAAATAAATAAAAAAAAAACTCGTTAAGCCCCGCGGCTCCGTATCGGCATCAGCCTTATTGGGCCCCATCTGAGGTGGTCTGATGGCTGGCGCACTGTATGCTCGGGTCTGGTGCTACTTTTCAACACATACGTACTATAAGTTTGTTTGCAATGGAAAAAAACTCCAAAATTAAATATGATAAGCTCTATAATACATAAGTTAAATATGATGAGCTCTATAATACATAGTCATTTTTGAAGATTAGATTTTGAAGCACTTCTAAATGTGTTGACAGTACTTCTTCACTTTTCTTTCTTTTAATGCTGTGCGCTGCGCTAGGCGTGCACACGGCGCAGGCGCCCGCGTGGCGTGCTGTTTCATATAATCTCATAGATCAGCGTGCGACGGGCGACCCGCTGCGTAGGCGTACAAGACAAGGCGTAGTTAGAATCACCCTAATGTGAGTGCAGATATTTTGTCTTATAGAAAATGTTGTCTTATGGATAGAATGGTTCGCTCGACTTATGCATGCGCTGAATATCTACTTAAACATTTATGGAATGTTTTTTAATAATGATACACAAGTATCTAAAAATCAACAAAAAAACTAAAATTTCACCCAGAAATTTTGATACGTCGGACACAATGTGTGAAACTGTTTTGTAAGAACAATAAAATGTTGCAGTGTATTTTTTTTTTTTTTTTTTTTTTTTTTTTTTTTTTTTTTTTTTTTTTTTTTTTTTAAAAACGTTGCCCCACATTGGGATTTTCTCCTGTGTCGTGGGTGTATAACTACAAATTAGTAATTACGACTTACTGTAATCAACAATAAGGTTCAGACCAATCAGACATGCCAGAAAAAAAGAAACCAGAAAGTTCTGATCAATAAAAATGGCCATAGTTACACCTACCTAAATCTTACGACAAGTGTTAAAACTAAGTATTTAATTTTATGGTAATTTAAATTAAACGTGGTTACAACATTTCAGCTCTATCATTTGAAGACAGGTTTCAAAAAACGGTTGCAAGATTCCACTTCACTCACATACTCGCGTTCCGCACGCGCCTCAAAGAACCATCAGACCACCCAATAGCGCTGATGCCGATACGGAGCCGCGGAGAACCTAACGGGTTGCCGGGGTCCTGGCTCGAAGTGCAGGAGTAGGAACGGTGTGGTTTTTAGTCAGTTAGAGTCTGACACTCCCTCTCGTCTCACCCAGGCGGGAGCAGCCATTCGATGATTATCCCCCCTCAAAAAAAAAACTTACATACATACAGGATGTAAACGGAACGCTCCCAAAACACTGACAAAATGAAATTGCATTGACATAAAAAAAAGTTTTTACCGTCACCTGACGGGGTTTTTCTGTATATTGCAAGGCTTGTAGGTGATTATCTCGTATATTTATCATCAACAACGTTTTACTAACATATTGTTGCAGATCCCGACGCAAAGCGAGATATTATTATTTTACGCCCCAGAGCTACGCCAGATAATGTTGTTGTAGAAAAAGAAAAGGAAGACAAAATTGATGAAACTCGTCTCGAATTGATCAGAAGAGCCTTTAGACGTAGGCCAACTGAACAACCTGCAGCCCAGCCTGAGCCAGCGCCCCAGGAACCGCTTTTTGAAATGGTGGTACATAAAAATGATATGAGCATAGCGAACCCACAAGAAGTGCTGCCCATGTTGAGTGCCGGTCGCGTTTACCGCGGCACTGCACCACCAGCACAGCAGAGTCGTCCAAGAGGTATTTCTGTCAAAAAGTTGAAACAATACGTAATCATACATTGGGGAGGCATGATTTGTACATTTGTATGGATAGATAAATACAGGGTGCTTCGCATATAACAGATATCTGTCTATAACATTTTCAACACTTTTGTTCCAATTGAGTCAAATATTCCAGAGCAAAAATACTTTAGTGCTTTTATGAAATACCATTCATTAAAAAAATATTATCATCATAACATCACGGGGTGAGCCTATTGCCATTTACCAGGCATAATTCCAGACTTCGTGGTACTACTGAGATTTTTTCAAAAAAACCCAGTAAGTACTTTGCCCGACCCGGGAATCGTGCAACTGCCGGGCGAGACCCCTTGCCCGGCAGTTGCACTTACGACTACTCGTCCAACGAGACAGTCATAATTATAAATTTAGAGCAGAAAAAAAAATATTTTTAATAATTTTTAACATTATAAAATTAAAAGATAAAATCAACAACTAATTGCTGAAATTAATAAACGATTTTTATCGGAACCCTTTAATTAAAGAGTTTTTGTAAAAATTGAAATCGATTTAAGTTTTTGGATATACTGCGATACTCAGAGACATGGAATGATTACTTAAACTGTTTCTTAACAATGGTTCTGTACCGAAAACAATTGCTAAGGACTGGGTTAAGCATCTATTAAATGATTCTGAGTACGGCGGTAAGATAAGTTATTAATCAGCCGTAAGAGGTTCTGACATCAAGTCAACTGACGACAATATAATAATAATTTACAGAACGCGCAGCACCAGATAGTTTAGATGATCGCCTTGAACTGCTTAGGAGAGCCTTTAGACGAAAACCGAAGCAACCTGAGAGCGAAAAGCCGATGTTCGAAATGGTGGTCCATAAAAATAAAATGCTCGTAATGAACAAAGATGAAGTGTTTCCCATTTTGGACTCACCAGAAAAACGTTACAGAAGTCGCAAAGGTATTGCTTTTTATAAATTTATTCTGAAATAGGTGGGTACGTTATTAAACCACGGAAAGCTATCTAATTGTATTTTTAAAGCGACGTGGTTATGCAAACAAGCCTAAAAATATTCAACATTTTAAAGCAATAAACAAGACACGGAGGTAGAGAGTAGGGAGACTAGTAGTGTAGACTAGGCGGGAGAGAGCCTTTTCCGAGCAGTAGACATCTTCCAGCTGTTGATGATAATGATGATACGAGTCACAGCGTTATGTTGTGCCGAAAAGTGTTTACATCTTGTAACGCTGTATTGTTGCTAAAGGTGTAATTTTAGCAGATATCATTTTCCATACATAATTGCCAGGCCTAAAAATTATTTTAAAAATATAATTTTTAATATAATTTTTAATAATATTTTTAATTATATTAAAAATATAATTTTTAATATAAAAATAAAAATATAATATAATTATATTAAAAATATAATTTTTAGACAACAAAAGAAAAGAAAATAAGTTTTATGCTTCTTAGCTGGCCACCCTGCATTTAGACAAGTTTCCCAATTCATTAATCTCAGAATAAATATTATTTACCAAAATGTTTATTCCGAGGAAAAAAATATTGTTTTGTCGATACAAAGAAATGGCTTTTGAGAAGAGAACACCAAGAGCCAAAGGTCTTTGAAGGGTCTTTGTCATCTTTATGTTTGTTTCGTTGCTATTAATTTGATAGCTCTGAACACTTCGGTTGCACACCTGAACCTGTCGTCCTCGAGCGGCATTACTGATCGTTTACAATCAGGTGATGTGTCTGCTCGTTTACCCTTTTCTTTAGGTTATTGACTTATCGTACTAATATTAAAATTAATATTATTCTATGTAACATATTCACGAACATTTTATATTTATATTTTTACATCATTATTATCTATATTTTGTAATGAAATTTATATGCTACTAATATTATAAATGTGAAAATTTGTGAGCATGGATGTGTGTGCTTGTTACTCTTTCAATTTAAAACGGCTGAAGGGATTGAAATGAAATTTGAAATAACATATAGGCTGGAATATATTAGGAAGGAATAGTTTGGAATAACATATAGGCCACATTTAATAACGGAAATGCAGGCGAAGCCGCTGGCAAAAGCTAGTCTTTAATATATCAGTATAGTTATTGCACCTTACCAACTTTTTCATATTTTTATTTTAGATGAATCGTGTGCGCCACCGGTTATGGAAATGCACGTAGACAGAACTACCGCAAGCATAATCAATGCCGATGAAATTGTCACAAAGTTGAAGGCGGAAAGACAACGACAAATGGTTAAAAAACACAGAGGAGGTTTAATTTCTCAAAGTGAAGGCGAAGCTTTAGTAAAACTGCATGGTAAGACATGCAATTGTTGCTTTTGTCGCAGATATAAGCAACAAGCACAAAAAGGCAAAAAGAAAAAAGCTGCTGTAAAGACTCGGCACCTAAAACCTTGCACATGTGGTAGCGACGTATGTTTGAAAGACTGGACTAAATTAAGAGACGAACAAGCGGATATGGCTAGAGTGAAAGATATCCCTCCCTGTGTATGTGGGAGCGACGTTTGTAAAAACGAATTTGAAAAAATGCCTAAAAAACGATTGGAAGCTGCGCGATTGCAGCGACAAAAAGAAATTAATGAAATAAATCGTAAAAAATACCAGCAAGCTAGAAAACGGCGTTTAAAACAATATAGATCGCAAGATTTAAAACGAATACGAAGAAGAGAGGCAGCAGACAGACGTCAAATGAACAAAATTAAAAAAATTAAAGGTGCTTCACCTGTGGTGATGGCTGTGGAATCCATAAGAGATTTAGGAGCTTATGGCTTTCGTTGTTTAGGGGGGTCAATAAGAAGCTTTTCTAGGGTTGTCAGACGTCCAAAAGATGCTGTTTATAATTTACAAGATACCGTACGTACTATCAAGCGCAGACCAGATACAGTGGTAAAAAAAATTAAGCAGAATTACAAGGATTCAGGCCTTAAATCAACCTTGGCAAGAATTAAGGAAAGAGCTGTACGGACGACAATAGGAAACCGTATAAAGACTAGAATGGAATCGAATGCTATAACGAACTATTTGGTTCACATTACTGATCCAGACCCTAAGGCACGTATGCAAATGCTTAAACGGAAAAAACGTCGCCGTCGTCGTCGTCATACAGAACCTGTTGACTTTGAATGTAGTCTTTATATGAACACGTTGAGGAAGAGGCCCTTCTTGCGGGTTTATTACATGTGTCCATGGTTTTATCCTCACTGCGTGAATTTGTTTGGACTATGGAAACAATTGGCTAATGTCCTAATGTTCCTTATGGCTGTATGTGTATGGAGCCCGTGTATACTTTGTTTTGAACTTTGTAGAGCTATGGCGTGTTGCTGCATGTGTACTGGATACGATATGTAAAGAACAAGTAGAATTTAGCATTATATATATTTATCCTTATTGCATATTTTTTCTTATTACTATGTCACAATCCTCTTCAAGTATTAACTTGGAGATTCCATGCTTTGTTGGAATCTAAAGTTTACACTATAGCGCTTGTCTACAGAGAGAGTAAAAAATTATGAGGATGACTGGCTGACTGACAAGTGTCAAAACTGTCGTCAATTCCATATAATTTGGTTTTCTATTCTACATGTAGACAAGCGCTAAGTGGCATTTGGCTACAGCTGCTGGATTGATATTTGCGCTATGCTGCTGCCCCATCTTTTTTTTTAGTGGAATAAGCCCAACATATCCTACCAAAGCTGCTCTACCAGTATTACTTTAATGGTAATGGTAAGAAATTAATTCATTAACATAACATCACACGTTTTATTCTCCGAAGAGGTAGGCAGAGGTGCACATTCCGGCAGTTAATGCCACTGTACAATGTAACACCCACTTTTCCCTATTTATGTTATGAGTCCCATGTAATAGGGGGTGAGCCTATTGCCATATACCGGGTTCACTCCAGGCTCCGTGCTACTACTGAGATTTCTTTTGAAAATCCCGTAAATTCTTTGCCGGACCCGGGAATCGAACCCAAGACCCTTTGCCCCGCAGTCGCATTTGCATTTGGCACTCGGAACCAAATTTAGAGGTACATTTTGCATATCCCTTTACACCCGACTGTATACGTATAATAGAGATTCAAGCAGTTGGGTATACTGATGGCAACAATGAATGTAACCAATAAATATTGCTTGTGCATTTACGTATGATGCACTACACACATGCAAGAAGTCATGAATTTAGAGATGAAACTCAAAAGGTATGACCGATGAGAGACAGGTGTAGCGATATGCATGTCGTGGCCACATCTTAGATTTAATTTTGCTCACCTCGTGTACTGCTTGAAAGTTAGTAGAATTTTTCACCAAAACCGAAAATCTTGAATATCACAGAAACTAGCAACTTTCGGACCAGAGATCTCAGGACTAATTTTGTAGGTAATTAGTTGTATTATCACGTCCCGAGTAATAACCATAACTAAAAACCATAGGAATACGTCGAGTTACAAGTCATCCCCTGTATTTATTATGACATGCCCTATTAGAACTTTGCATCGTCGTTCGGCGAGACGTTTGTACCTATCCATCGCAAAGTATGAACTAAGACTTCCCCTATACTTACTATACTCTTTAATTAAGACGCGACTGCTACGGCGTGCGTGTCGTCCTGCGCTGCGACGTGTCGTGCGTCTTGGTGAGGCGAACACAGTGTTGTTCCGTTGCGTCAACGGGACATGAAACGCAGCATAATGCACTAGTGGAGCCTCGCCCTAAGGTACCCAACTCAACAGGGAACTATGTCTATACATAATATACTCTTTGATAGACACTGAATTTTGGCTTTGATTTTTTAATTAATTTATATAACTACATAAATATTTACAACTTAAAATTAACTACAACTAAACTATTAAATAAAAAGAAAGTAAAAGAAAACAACAAAAATTATACCCTTAATTTAGGCGTCAAAGTATTCGTCCGCATCACTATCACAGGGGAAAGTTCCCAGAAGACTGGCAGCATTGCCACGTTGAATGGCAATGCTTATTTTCTGTCCGAAGAAAAAGCCAGCCCTCTGGTCACGTGTAGAGTCGATAAGCCTACGGGCGATGTCTTTAAACACAGAGTGTGCACTGGGACCCCATGGCCCAAGTGTTTCGACCCCAAACGGCTCAAAACAGTAGTTACCCACTAGATTTGAATATTTACGCCGTTTGAGGGCGTCTGCCGCGGAAGCAGCTGCACCAACGCATGCAGCGGTGCTTAAAAGATGTGATGGCGCAAGGGTGTCTACACACGTCGCGTCCCACACCAAAGGCCTACCCATCTTCCAAGGCAGCAACGACATACCATCTGGTCTTTTGCCGTCATCACGTACCAAACCATTAGGTTCTAATACGGCTGGTACACCGGCTGAGGCAAGAGCACGACGAATGATGTCGTTGATGCTGGCATGGCGAGCTATGCGGCCTGCACTTCTGCAACAAGAAAGACCATGGTGTCCCAAGCCATCGACTCTTTCTCCACAGTGACAATAATGCGGAGAAACACAAGGAGCACCTAAACGTAGGCATACAGCTAGGCGGAACGTTATGTCATCCAACATTGTACCTATGAAGGGTGACGGGAGTGCCTGAAGCCACAATCCTGATTCCCATTCTCCCACAGCCAATAAGCGAGCTCGCTCTGCAGTATTAGGAGACGAGTTGATTAAAGACTCACTGAATTAAGTGTTAAAATGGGGTTAAACTAAGGAGTATACGACTTTTAGGTTTAAGTATTTTGTGTTGTCAAATGAGGAGTTTGACGTTGATATTATTTATGGCAGTTGTGTTATGCATGTTTATATTATTTATCTAAAAATCTATATCGATTCGTCGTTCTTGATACTTATTATGCTTGATATGCATATTGGTATATTTACCTTGCTTTCATCTAGGCCTTCGACGAGTCCTAATTCGGAATCGAATATTAGCCATGCGACATAATTGAAAGACTTTTGTTAATTTAATTTTGTAAGTACAATTAATTACTTCAAAATTTTATATGAACGGACCTATTGCCAATATGTATAGGGACAAATTTTACACAGCACGCTATTATTAAGCATTTTCAGAGTCGAAAGACCTCAAAAATTTTGACGCTATAATTTTGCAAACTAATCTCACACGGTCACACCCGGTACTCGGCTTCTATTGATCTTAGCGTTATTTTTAGACCCTATATGCCTTACTTGATGAATGCACTTTCCAACAAAAAAATAATATTATTCATATCGGACCAGTACATCTAGAAATAAGCGCGTTCATACAAACAAAGAAACTCTTCAGCATTATAGAATAAAAAGTAAAATTAATTATTTTACTTATTTCAGATTAATTATACTATAGATACCAATGTTTGGACATAGATGATAAAACACCATTAATTTAATTACCTATATTAAAATTCGTGGTAAGTCCTAAAAACTCTCCATTAAAAATAAACAATACTTGGTTACTATTAAATTTCTTTGAACGTAGTTATACAGGGTGTCCAAGAACCTGGCGTCCAACTGGATTCCCACGATGCCCCAAGTTCTAACAGTACTCAGAAAAATATTTTAAAAAATCTACCCCATGTACTTACAGAATTATACTGATTTCAAAAAAAAAGGTGAAATGAGCACCCTGTGACATACTTTTGAATGCTGTAACTGCTAATGCTGATAATTTCGATATTTCTTGGAGGTTTTGTAATCTAGGGTATTGCTGTGTCTAAATAGAATGTAAAAATAAAGTACTTATTGTACCATTTTAAAATAAAATATTATTTTAACTAAAGGTGATATGGAAAAGTATTGAATTTCGCAACTTTGACCGACTGTAGTGTAAAAAAATGTACCAAAATAGTATGGCAAGTGACGTCAAATTTTGACGCGTTTATTCCTCTTTTTAAAAAGGTACAATACTTACACATTAATTTGAAAAAAAAAATTTTGATAATATTTTTACTCAACAACCCAATTTTTACGATGTCTTACAGAATTCTTAGAAAGAAAAATTTACGACGAATTGAATCTAACCTCTAAAGAATTACTATTGTATGCTCATAAAAATAACAACAGGCCTCTCAAAAAATAGGTTAGACCGTAAGGGACGGTATGTGCATGCATCTCACCATAGTGATTCGTTATTACAACAGGAGGGAGCAAGACAGAAACTATCTTTGCGATTTGCTGGTTCTTCTTTATGGTACCCCATTATTCAGGTAAGAGTGAGGGAGAAAAAGGTTAGAGGTGCGAGTGAGATAGATAGTGACGCTATCTGGGATCGTGCTATTTAGGATAACAGTACGGTCAGTACGCGTCACTGCCTCCTGCCGTTACTACGCACCTCTCTCTTATTGTTACCATTGATCACGTACTACGATTTAAAGCTTTGTTTATTGGACTCGATTACTCTTTGTGCTCTGGACTTTGAAACGGACTCTTTACGACGACCTTTGCCTGTGTTTGGACAGTTTGTGTTTTGTGTGTGCTACCCTGGCGACCTACACTCCGCAAGAATACGCAAATATGCACTACATTTATGGAGAATGTAGAGGTAATGGACGAGCTGCAGCGAGACTTTACAGAGAAAGGTATCCGAGGGCTACGCGATATCCCGACCATCGAGTTTTCATTAATGTGCACAGATCACTATGTGACGGTGCCTGTGCCTCTAAATGACTTCATACGCGATGAAGTTTTAGAGGCGGTGTCGGCAAATCCAAGCATCTCTGTGCGAGGAATAGAAGCTGATACGGGGATACCGAAGAGCACAGCACACAGTATTCTCCAAAAAGAAGAATATCATCCGTACCACGTACCGCGAGTGCAAAGTCTTTTACCTCGAGACTATCCGAGCCGAGTCGCGTTTTGTGAAACAATCCTGCAAAAACATCGAGAAGACGAAAACTTTATCGACAAAATTTTGTGGTCAGATGAATCAACATTTAAGAAGGATGGCTACATGAACCTACACAACTTGCACGAGTGGCATGTGGAAAATCCGCACTTGATGCGAGAAGATAGATCCCAGTACCGGTTCAAAGTGAACATGTGGACCGGTATCTCTGTGGGAATATTATTGGTCCATTTGAGATGCCCGAGAATTTGACTGGCGAATCATATTTAAATTTTCTTCAAAATGATTTGCCAAACTTACTAGAAGAGACCCCACCAGATATGTGGTTCCAACACGACGGCTGTCCAGCACATTTTCGCGTATCCGTTAGAGAGTTTTTGGACGAGCAATACCCGAACAGGTGGATTGGGCGATCAGGAACAATCCCGTGGCCAGCCCGCTCACCTGACTTAAATCCGCTGGATTTTTTTTTCTGGGGAACTATGAAGGAGCTCGTTTATGCGAAGCCCATTAATGACATCGCTGACCTTCGTGAGAAGATAACACAAGCAGTGCAGGTGATACGTCAAAAAAGTTACTCGCGAAACATAAAGCGGTCCTTTTTAAGGAGAGTGAGAGCTTGTATTGCCGCGGGTGGTCAACATTTTGAACATTTATTGTAATAAAATATCTTTAAACTAACATTCTTTGCTTTTATTCTACTGGGAACCCATCTACCTGTGTGTATTTCCTTCTTGCTCACTCTTGGAACCGAAGTAAATAATAGTAGTAACATAACAGTTTCTAAGATAAGAAAGGGTCCGACAGTTACCGTTAGTAGGTAGGCACTTCGTAAAAATTGGGTTGTTGAGTAAAAATTTTATCAAATTTTTTTTTTTCAAATTAATGTGTAAGTATTATACCTTTTTAAAAAGAGGAATAAACGCGTCAAACGCGTTTGACGTCACTTGCCATACTATTTTGGTACATTTTTTTTACACTACAGTCGGTCAAAGTTGCGAAATTCAATAGTTTTCCATATCACCTTTAGTTAAAATAATATTTTATTTTAAAATGGTACAATAAGTACTTTATCTTAACATTCTATTTAGACACAGCAATACCCTAGATTACAAAACCTCCAAGAAATATCGAAATTATCAGCATTAGCAGTCACAGCATTCAAAAGTATGTCACAGGGTGCTGATTTCCCATTTTTTTTTGAAATCAGTATAATTCTGTAAGTACATGGGGTGGATTTTTTAAAATATTTTTCTGAGTACTGTTAGAACTTGGGGCATCGTGGGAATCCAGTTGGACGCCAGGTTCTTGGACACCCTGTATATACAAGACGAATTATTCTTTGTAAGAAACCGCTCTAACAGAGCGGAGTAATACCTATTCAACTAAAAAAATAATTAATATACATTTTTCTTTCAGGTGGCTAGAGCCCTAAGAATATCACTGGGTCTCACCGATAGAAAGATAATGATAACAATAAAATTAAAGTTTAAAATAAACCAATGAGTTAATATAAAACATCAACATGAATAACTCGATTGAATATGAAAAAAATGTTCAAAAACGTATTAAAAGGTTAAGATCTAAAGGTCCCATGTTTGGAACAAGTAAATCTTTAGTTATGCATGTCGTAACTACACAAAGGCCATTAAAAAAAACTTACTCGAGTGAATGTTTAACTGATTCATATGTTGGTAGTAATAAAAATCCAAATTGTAGTAGTAAACTGGTTAAAAAACGACGACGCACGTCAAGATCTACTAAATTTAATGGAGTTGACAACAGAAAAGATAAAAGAATTACAGAAAATTCCAAATATTCTTTACCAGGTAAAAACATTACCCCTGATTGTAATTTGAAATCCAGAGATGTGAAAGTAAAAAAACGAAGCTATGGTATAAATACTAAAAGTAAAATTAAAAACCTGTCAACATCCACTTTACAAAGAGCTATTAAATCAAAATCAGTGAGCACGACGAAATTCAAATCTAAAACATCTAAATATCCATGGAAAAGAAATTTACATCACACAAAATCAGTCGGAACGTACGACAAGAGACATGGACAGGTTATACAAGTTGGCTCTAGCAAAAAGTCTCTTGTTGCATTTGAAGAAAATCAACGATGTAACATTAACAAATTATTACTCGCTGCAATGGAAATTCTAAATAAAGATTTACAACAACAATCATTTAATGATGAGCATAGTACACCAAAAGATACATCAACTCCTGAGTCGACGGTAACCTTTGAAATACAAAATAAACAAAAAGAAATAAATCAAATGATACCTAAATTAAGTAGCATGATTAAAAGGTATGATATACGTACGAATATGAAAGAAAATCTAAACAGTAGTGAAAGTCCTGTGAGCACAACAACAACAACAACAACAAGCACCGCTACTACTACATCTACAAGTACTTCTGGACGTATAACTAAGAGTAATGGTATAACTTATATAAAACCTGCGCTAAAATTAGATACAAGAGGATTAGGTTCTATCAAATTAAAAACCGATAACTCTGGTGCATTAAAATTCAAAACAAAAAAATGTAATGAAAATACACTGAAAATAAGAAGATCTAACGAAGCGAATATTGAACCAGTAAAAAAATATAAATGTTACTTAGACATTAAAGATGATAATGGTGAAGTTCGTAAAAGTAGTGATGACAGTCCTGTTAAGAGTTCAACCATCTCTACGTCTGTAAGCACATATAGACCATCAATGAAAAATAATAATACAAATTATATAAACTTTGCAAATCCATTTAATGACAGACATGATACGATAAAATTTACAGAAAATATTGATGAATTGATGCCAAAACAAAAACATGTCAATGTGAAATCCGACATGAAAAATTCGTACATAGCCAGTATCGAAGTGGAAAAATCTAATATATTACATGTTGATTCAAAAAAAGATCATAAATTAAAATCAGGTAGGATACAAGGCACTTCCTATAAACAAAATGAAGAAAACGCATTTGCTTTTTCTTCAGACGAAGAAGAACGAGAAAAAGAAATCGAAACTATAACACTTTATTCGAAAGATAGGCTAGTGAAGCCACATCCTGGGATAAAAGTATCTCAAAAATTTATTTATTTTGAATCTGAGATATCTATTAACCAAGCGAGAGATAAAGAAAATGACAAGTCCTTTTTTCGTTCGCGATCCCCAAAAAGGTATAAGAAAACAAAGGTAAGGTGGCAAAGTGAAAATAATTCTCCAATACACTGTCATATTGGAAAGAGGACGGAATCACCAACAGCAAAGAATTTAATAAATAATCATTTGAAATCCGATTTTGATCAAGATTATGAAAATACTTCTAATGACAGCAAGATGGGAAAATTAGATACATTGAAAGACTTTGATTTTGGAACAAAATCATCTACTCTTAGTAGTATCGAAACAAATTCTAGGTTTATTGCACTGGGCAGTATGATAAAGGAATTTGGATTAAAATCTTGGCATTACTTAAGTAAACATAATGATGTAAAGAACCAATATAATATGGTCAATATAGGAAAAAGACAAGGTTCTCATCACAATGCCATTATTACCGATCCTGAAACCTTCAGAGAAGAACTACTATGGGAAGTTAAAAAGACGGTTAAAGGTTAGTCTACTCAGTCAGAATCATTGTACAGTCAATGCTATTGTTACTTCACTGTTCTAGATTTTAAATAGTGGGTGGCCTAAGTGTCATCCTAATTTATACAAGACGTACTTTTGAGTGGCGTCGTCCAAATTCAAAGCAATGATATTTTAGATTACACTAATATTTTTGAAAGAACACAGGTAGATATTGTAATTCATTTTGTTATTTCAGCCATTGCAGATGGAAATATAACAAGGTCAATAATGGAGTTGATGGTTGACAAAAATACTGGCAGGATATTAAAGACGGAAGACATAATTTGTAGAATTGTTTCATCAAAAGCACAAGCTTTAGCGAGCAGAGTCAGGATGCAACCTTGTAAACCTGTAAAACTTGTTGTACAACCAAAACAGAAGATAAGTACTCGAGGTATCATTATGCTTTTAAACAATCGTAGTTTTTCTTTTGATAGTTAATATATTATTATCAAATGATGCGCACATAGAGGGTAATGGGGGCTACCGTGTTTTCATTTTTAATGAAAAGTCTGCTCTTATTTAAATAAAAGTAATTACAAAGGTCCAATTTTACCCACGAAATGTTTAGGAATTTGTTAATAGTACCTATCAATCCTAGTACTACCTATCTACCATGAACAAAAGTATGTTAATTTTGTGAGGCGTTGCTATTTGTTTCAGCATCAAAATATTTCGGAAACTTGAGACGGTTATCAACGAAATCTAAGTTTATATTTTCACCCAAGTCAACTAGTAGTGCAGCAGAATCTTCGGGATATCTAAACAAGGTCCGAAAAGGTACGAGTAAAAGTGTAAGGTAAAAGAATGTAAAATAATTCTTGTAATAAAACTGCGTTTAAACAAACCGACTTCAACCCTCTCCTTTTTTGAAGTCGATTAAATAATATACTAAAACCTTCTCTTCTGAAAACCACATCAAAATCGGTTCAGTTAATCGCGAGATAATCGTACTTTTTTGGAAAAGTGTTTGTTACGCTTAGGAGAAGGTTTTATAAATTAACCGACTTCCAAAAAGAAGCGGCTGAAGTTAATTGTTTTAAACGTACTTTATAATTACTTTTGAAGTCGTTTAAATAGAAAGAATTTCACAAATACCAATTAACCTGTGTTTAAGTATGTAACTTAAACAAGCGGTATGAAATAAACACAGTATCTATTCCTATTTTTATAGGTTGTCCATGTCCGCCTAGACCAAAACAACGGATGACCAAAATAAAAACTACCTCGAATATTCAAACACCAAAATTGACGGGTATCTTAAGAAAAAGTTTAGTAAAAATTCGAAAAAATATTCGTAAAGGTAAGCTATGAAATAGTCACCAATCATATATTGTTACATCTTGGCTTGTTATTTTAGGTGTGTGCACACATACATTTTTTTTAAGGGGATAATCATCGAATGACTTCTCCCGCCTGGGTGAGGCGGGAGGGAGCGTCAGACTCTTACTTACTAAAAACCACCCCGTTCCTTCTCCTGCACGTCGAGCCGGAGCCCCGGTTACCCGTTAGGTTCTCCGCGACTCCGAATCGGCATCAGCCCGTGCACACACACATAACGCCTCGTGTTCACGAGGCAACATTTGACACGCATGTCGGTTGCTCTACCTACATGAAAGTCAAGATGGGATTTTTAGGAATTTTCAATTATTACTACACAAACTAATAATGACTAGTGTTGATTTTAGTGACATTTGTTTGTTGTTCGTCACGTCTTCACTATTTAATATTTGATACTCAACTGCAGCAAAAGGAACAAAACCCACGAAAGTGGTAGTGCGAGCTAACTGACAACGTTGTGCGAAGCGTGTTGCATGTTCAGTTCATTGATGCCTATTGGATGGCTTTGAATAAAACACCGCTCTGACATGTAAATTGTCCAATTTATGTATAATTAAATATAAAACATGTCCATGTTTTATATTTAATTATACCATTTTTTTTAAAAGAAGTACTTGCAGCCCTTCAATAGATATAGCAGAGAAACTTTATCATATTAAGAATGTTCAAAATTGTTAATGAATGCAATGGTAAATTGTCAGCAGAAAGTTGTGACAAGCAATGGACGAAACATGACATAAAGGTCAAACTTGGCACTAAAGAGGGTAACATTGAAATTTTGAAGGAGATATGTAAAGGTAAGTAATTAATTAACTAACAGTTTAATATATTTTGGCCCTTTTCAATAACTCAAACTTAAAACTAACCACGGTGTTAAAACCTACATTAATAAAATAATGTTCAATTATAATTTGACATAAATAGCAACTAATGCAATATACCACTCGTGTGTAAGTCTTTTTGAGGGGAGAAAATATTAATAGTATTTTACTTCGCCTGCTCAAACGCCCGAATACTGAAAGTCTACGCAATTTTAAGTCGCGCTTACAGAAATACTTAGTTCCTTCACTACAAATTCTTTGTAAAATAAAAGAGATGGCACGATATGTAAGTATACTTAAAATTGAATAACCTATCAGTATTTGGGCGTAACTGACTTCGTGTGAGCAAATTTTTAGCAAGCAATATATTTAGTGAAATCCATGAAGTACGTTTGTAAAAGTATGCTACGGTAATTATTTTTTATAGCTATCAAAAGCGGCAGAGTATCGGCATCACTCATAGAACTAGCACTCAGTAAGAAACCTCAACAGAAAGGACCATACAGAAAACTTGAAAGTGAAAAGTTTTATAGAAAACCGATGAACCAAAAAAGAATAATTATCAAGTTAGGCACTAGCGTTGGACAGGAGAAGATATTGAGGAAAGTTGGTAAAGGTAATTATGTAGATTTTTAATAATAAATTCTACTATATTGTCTCAAGTTAATCCTTACTATCCTTACTATCTCAAGTTAATCCTTACTATCCTTACTATCCCTAACAAACAAACAATCATATTATAAATCCTTACTAATATTATAAATCGGAAAGTGAGTTTGTTTGTTTGTTTGTTTGTTCCGCTTTCACGCCGTAACTACTAAACCGATTGCTTTGAATTTTGCAGACATTAAGTTAGAAGTCCGGATTAAATAATAGGGTACTTTTTACCCTTTTGTGACGCGAGCGAAGCCGCGGGTAAAAGCTAGTTTTAAAATAATAATCATTCTCGCAGTAGGTTAGGGCTACGAGTTTTTGATGGAAAAGGAATAGAATTCAAAACATGACAGTCCACTGTTTTTTTTATATTTGATGGGCCTCTATCTTGCCTGGTGGTAAGTGATATTTTTTATTATACTACCGAAACGAAGATGGCTAGTATTAATTAACATACATAGTTAAAGAGTATGAAGTATTTAATTAATGTATTATAAAAAATCAATTTCTTCTTCAGCTATGAAAAGAGGTGAAATATCACCATGGATTATAAAACAAATGGTTACACATACACCGTCTATAAAATCTGGTACTTCATTGCAACGTTTATTCAATAGAGAAAGCGGTTGTATAAGAGGTATTTTCAATTATTTAATGAAATTTTTATTTGACTTTACACACTGTTCTTATATTACTAATCACAAATCAATCATTCCTTAGTTAATGAACTACAAGTGAATATTGTGACATTCGACAAACAATAAAAGCGTTGATAGTATTTAAAGCTATCCTTGTTTAATCGTAAAAAATTTTCTCTTAACATGACATTCCAATTTATCCACATACGCAAATGAAGTGAGCAAATCTACGATGTAGCCATATTATATACTTGATATTTTGACGCCTTTTATAAATTTCAGCAAGAAAAAAAGCGCAGATTGCTATGAAAAAAGGTAGGGGTGTAGATAAATCAGCACATGAACCCTTTACGAAGATGTCGAAAACTACGCAGAAGTCACATTTAAAAAATAATATGCATGCCAGTTCCAACCGGGATTCGGCGACGTCTTTGTCAACCTACGATCGACATGGAACTTTAAAACGGATGAGGGCACAGTCTTCAGTATTGAATAGTGGCATTCAATATACTAAAAAAGGTAGTCATATATATGGAAGAAATTATTGTAATGATGAAAATTTTTAATCTATGATAATTATTAAACTTGAAATTATTCCAGCAAAGAGCAAAGAAAGCGAAGCGTCACGTCGTACGGTTTTGAACAGAGGCAAAAGTTCAGATTATTCAGGATGTGAATCTGCTGCAGAATTAAAGGATATATTATTGCCTTCGTGCAACAGTGATAGTAGTGATTGCAGTACGATTATAAAAGGTAAGCCGATATGTGTAGGTAAGAAATAATGATGGTTAAGTGATACTTACTAGCTCTTATATTAAAGTATAATTATTTATTCTAGTGAAATGTGAAAAAGACTTCATGGATCGGTCATCGCACTCAATTTTGAAGAAAGTGAATACTGATCATACACAACATGAATCAATATTAAAGAAAATAATAAGTATACCTGTTCTAGATTCGGAAGCAGAATTAACTAATATATGTCCTAAATGGAGTAGTAGCAATATGGTCCAACAAAGTAAGCCAATCTTTAGAAAAGACAGAGATGTTTAACGTTTGAGTTTTAATATCTGAGTCTTACTTTATCATTTCAGCCAAAGGCACGGGAAGGTCATCGCACCCGATTTTGAGAAAAGTTAAAAACGCAGAACATAAGGAGTGTGGATCAATTTACAAAAAGTCACAAAGTATACCTTCCATTTCTCTTAATCGGAAGTAGAATTAAAGAATTTTTTACCTTCATGAAATAGTCACTGTATTTTTTTTTATATATCTCCTCTCTAGGTTTTTTTTCCTGTATCGTGGGTGTATTTACACACAACTCACATACACACTACTCTCAGACGACAGTCAATTGTTTAGCCACTGCACCCATCGTCTAATTGCAAAATTATAGATAAAACAAGTAAAGCAAGTTTAAAAAAAATTGAATGACAGATTTTATAAAATTTTAGCAAAGACAAAAGGCAAGGACCGGCGACCGACAGCGCACTCAATTTTGAAAAATATGAAAAGTACAGATCAATCAGGACAAAAATCCACTTCAAAGAAATTAAAATGTAGTAAATTTCAAAAGTCAGAAGCAAAGTCTAAGAATATTTCACCGACACATAGTAGTTGCAACATGGTCAAAAAAGGTAAGGGAACTTTTAGAAAAGTTAAAAAAAAATTATGTACTTTGGTAAACATTTTTAATGATTGACTTTAAAATTTCAGACAGGCAACAGTCATCACGAACAGGTTTAAAAAAAGTCAAAAGCATAGACGGTGCAGAACATGTAAGATGTAAATTGTGTCATCGAAAATCAGAATTAGAATTCGGGGAGGTTTTGCCTCTAGCAAGTTTTAGTCGCAGTACAATTAGAAAAGGTGAACTTTATTTAAGTTTGTTGTTTTGAAAATAGTTAAATTATTGTCTGGGCCCTTTTGAGAACAATGAAAATCCTTCGTCTTTGTCACTCTATTCGCAGTACAGTTCTGGTAGTAA